TTTACAATAACAGAACATTGTCGACTACATTATATATTAAGCAGATCACTGCTTAAGTGACATTTGCAAATGAGAAAGTAGACGAAGCTTAAAACTAGAAAGAAACATAGTTTCTTCAATTCCAAGCAAATATCGAAAAAATATATGCATAAATTATCTGGCATTACACCAAGGTCACCACCTTCTACAAATAAAATACATTTTGAAAGCCGTCAAATTATTTAGGTTGATATTAGTTTGCCTATTTGGCGATTATATAACTTGCGAAAGTATTAATCTTTTCCCCATATTCAAGAGCTGCGTGCAGTTTCTTACAAGTAAAGAGAAACATGAAATATGTTCGTTTTGCAACCCAGAGAGGGACAGTTTTAATGCCTCGGCCCAAACAATTCTCTTGTAGTTGACTGAGCATAATTGATTATTGCTTCTGACCGTAAACCTGCTTCTAAATGTGAAACAGATATTAAAACACGGGCCGATTCTATATCATATTTCGTACTGGGTGACGCAACATCTATTTTACACACAATACAATTGTGATTTCTATAATTCAATCGAATCCTTGGAGGGACCCCTAATCTCTTGTGACAAGTAAACCGAGTGATTAAGATAATTATGAACAGACATTTGTGAAAAAAAGAGAGAGACACCAGCGGATTGTCAGGGTCTTCAATTTTAGAAAAAAATAACTTACACTCTGGCAATGCCACTATAGCTAACGGTAAAGATAGTATGCCAACATATTAATTAACACAAGAACATATGACGACACTATAGAGATAACATAACATGATAATGATTTACTGACCAGTCAGTGAAAACCTGTCGCCATGTGGTATAATCCAAGTAATTGTACACAGAATTAAGTCGAGAATGAACTGTCAGCCGCAAACGTACAGTTCAAATTCTAGTTACTGCTAATGCCTCACGCGCCTTGGACAAGGCGGTTCGAGAAACATGTTGGTGTCCGATATGCACAAAATCGCTACATTTGACGCGGGGACGTCGTTAAACGCCTGTACTAAATTCATAGGGCGTAACGGTGACACAGCTCTCAACTCATAGCCAATTGTCATGTACCCACGAATGAATGCCACTTACGAGGTCAAGGAGATTTCACTGAAAGACCTTGTTAGACGACGTTAAATAAAATATCAAGAGAATTTTATTTTGCTTTGTCGGTTTATAAAAAAGGTCTTTCATTAAGAAATGTGATATTTCTATGAGAATTTTTTAAATGCTGATGACAAAGATTTGAATAAATCCATCGAACGTATTGCATCTGTTGCCTTTCGTCTGTGCTCGTCTGTTAATACAATCCATACAGATTAAATGCCAGACATTCTACTGTGATTCTGTATGCACAATGTGACATGATCGTGCATCCAGTCTTAATAAAGACGAACGAAACTTTACAGGATCACATATACAGACCGTGAGAACAGATCCCTTGTTTGCGTGTTGGTCTTGAGCATTAAGTAGTGAATCACCTTCTTCACCGCTGGAGTTTTTCTCAAAAATCACACACACACACACACACACACACACACACACACACACACACACACACACACACACACACACACACACACACACACGTTCTGGGAACGTAGGATCAATTCATGACATCGAAACCTCGATATGTGCAATACACCAGAAGTTGTTTACCATAAAGATGTACGTTTTCCTGTTTACTCGCCAATTTCTATAATGCCAATCAAACAGTTTTTGCAATCACTTAAGATGAATTCGAAGTGACTAACACGTCACCTATCAAATGTCAAGGCTGCATTGAAGTCACTCATGGAAAGTCTCGTACACAGACAGACTGACAGCATTGTCTTGAATGCAAAGTCGTGAGCACAGACAGACAGCATATTCAGAATGTGAGATCATATGGCCCTCAGTACAGTTTAGTCTTAGCAAGTTGATCGAAATCAATTTCATCTTGAACATTGCATAATATATATTCACCTTCAGTCTGAATACATGTTATTTTTGATTGTCTTTGTGTGCAATATCTAAATTAGATAGAAACGTTGATCTCAAAGTTTCATAGTTTTCACAAATAAATCGAACATGAAATTCGTCTTCAATGTCCTGGTCGGTACAATTAGTACAAATACAATTTACAGAATCAATACCCTTGGTTCTACGAAATTTATTGACATGGAAGTTATGGAGAGATATTCTAAATTTACATAGAGCTCTCAATCGAGATTTGTCTTGTAATACATTAAAATATGTTTCTGGTTGATTCCAGACAAGCATAATGCTTGAGAGAATGGCAAGAGGACGTTTGTTGATGCAAGTTTTGCTGAAATATATCTAATAGTCCTTGTTTAAGTGTATTTACAAATACTTTTTCATTGCCGGCATCTTGTGAGATCCATACAAAGGGAAAATTCATAAATAAATCAACCCGCTTCTGACGCCAGATATCCAATATCATCATCTATTTGCTTTTTATGAATACATATACTACAGCAACCAGTTTCACCGAGTACTTCCTTATTTGAAGCATATTTTTACAAATGCATCAAAATCGCTTAAACTACAAAGTATGAACTTTTTCAATGAATTCAAAATATTCAATGCCCCATATTTCCAAGCCGTATAACAAAATGGTTTCAATTTTACCATCTAGAATATAGAACTTCCTGTGAAAAAATATGATATACGGTATATGCTTTCCTTTAATACTTTATGAATAGGAAACATTGCCTCAGATGCCTTTAGCGCTAAGTGGTTACAAGCCATGGATCAGCTTGGAAATAGAAAGAGTTAAATACTTGTAATAACTAACAACTTCTGAATGTTTATCACAATATATCCAGTTTTCATGCTTCGGAACAATTACGACCGCCTCCGTGATCAAGTGGTAGAGCGTCCGCCCGGAGAGCGGAAGGTCCGGGTCCGATCCCCGGCCGCGTCACACCAAAAGACGTTTAAAAATGGTACTTGTTGTTACCCTGTCTGGCGCTGGGCATTAAAGGGCTAAAACAAGGACTGGTCGGCTCGGAGTCAATATACTGTGTCTGAGTAGGGTATCCATGTTATACTGCCGCATGGTATCTCAGTGTGCTAGCACTTTAAATCGGCATCAGTCCGGACTAGTACAAGCAGCCACACACACACACGTGCATGCACGTCGCTATATAATTGCTATAATCTTGGGCGCGACGTTATACCCCATTTCACCTCATCTCACCTCGGAACAATTCCACATTTCTAAAACACTCCACATTTCTTAAGGTTTTCTTCTGATCCCCACTTAATACAAGACTGCAAAGTTTGAAACTGTTTCAGAAACATCAACCGCGAACAGCAACAGCATAATATCTATAATGTCTATGTAAATTTCAGAAACAAGTTCGTTTATAACAAAGATGAATCAGACGGGGCTTAAAATGCAACCTTGACGAACACCACTAGAAGTAATAAAAAAAAGTTATACTCGAATCAATTTTCATACATGCTTTGACTGAGGAAGACATTTATTTAGGAACTATTGACAGTTTTCAATGTCATTCTTTAGTGATCAATAGGTATAGGTACAGCATTTATTTTTTCATTAACTTATCAAAGGTTTGCGAAAGTCAACAAAAGCGCAATAAAACGACCTTAAATATTCGGAGCAAAGTGCCTGTAAAACAAAGATATTGTCAACTGTAGAATACTCAGAGCAAAACCCTGCTTGAGCTTAAGATATTTGATCATTTATTTCAAGCCAGATACTAATTATTTGTTTTTCAACAATAAATGCAAAACGTTTCAAAATGGTTATACGTCTGTAAATGTTCAGTTAGCTGGCATTTCCTGATTTGCACAAACATATTATCTTTTCATTATAAACCTATCACTATATTATCCTATATTGCATCAGTTTCCTAACAACATCGAGTAATCCCAGAAAACCATCTCGTCTTCCAAACCTAGTTTTTGAAAGGAGTCACTTGTAAACCTGCTTTGAGTTTTTACATTTCAGTTAATATACTAAGTTTGACAATTAACGTTTTTTAAACTTGCCTCTTCATATGAACACAATAGTATTTGATGACTGGTTAAGGGTCACAATATTTTAAAATTCCATGAGGTGAATCAAACCCATAACCTCACATATCGTGTAAAGGATTAAACACGCCTCCGAGGTTTGGGTTGAAATCTAAAACCGCGAGCGAGCGCGGAACTTATGACAAAAAAACAAAAAACATCGACATATCTGATAATGAAACAATACTGTGTGTCGTGGTATAAAAGGAATTCTTTCAAAGCTTGCGAGAGAAAAAAACACACTTGCAGCATGGACTTGGCTGGCCAAACAATAGGTGGTGGTAAAGTGAGGAGACCCCTGTGATTTGCAACCGAATGCCTAACATTATATAGGGCATGAGTTCTCCTCAGTGCTCAGCTTTTGTTGTAACTTTCCGGGTGATCGCGCACGCACAATGAGCACAATCTCACGGGCGAGTCGCTGGTATGACGTTACGCCGAAGAGTGCCGCGCGCAGCCGTGAAAAATGTGCATGCGGGATGATGTTTCGGTACTTGAAAAAAACTACAATGACCAGATTTCTGAAGGAATGTTAATATTTATTTCACAAACATAAGACATTGGACACAGAAATGAGGAAATATAACCAATTTTCCGAATCCGTTAATCCCTTTTATGTAAACTATCATGTTGTTTTTGTTAATCCTTATTGGATGTATATAACCCTGTACTGTGCGATCTCACTTTCAAGGAACCCCAGAAGTGGACGTAAAACTCCAAATGATGATGATGATGATCTTACTTCACTCTTGCTTGACAACGGTATAAGGATCTTTACAGAAACGTCGCATCACAATAGAAAGAAGAAGTTGTCATCCATAAAATATTTTATTTTTACTCTTACTTACTATTTTCTACCAATGCAATCAAACGATAAGTAGCATGCACACAACGTGTGATCTACTCATGCCCCGATTTTTGCACCAAACAATACATATTTTACTTTCAGTGCCTGAGAAGCCATGATGTTAATTTTTGTCCTGTTCTGTGTGCTGCACGTGGTCCGTATTTGCAACTCTCAAGGTAAGACGTAAAAACTTGTGATTACTTATCTGAATCCATTTCCAGATTTTGGATTTGTTCCATAATTAATATTAACTGACATAGCCCCATGATCTGGGATGACATGCAGTCTTCTTTGTCTTTTACGAATGCAAGGGTAATCGCAAGGACTGTGGAACCATGTTGCGCTTTAGAAAACATTTATGAAGTTGCCGAAAAGCGTATTATTACCATAAGTCACAATAGTATAAATTATGAGTAAAAAAATATGGAAAATAACTCTCATCCGTTGTGTCAAAGAGCGGTGTTAAATGAAAGTTACAAAGTCCTTTCACTATTCATAAGAGATATCAGATAAAAGATTCCCACTATATCACAAATTATGTAAACACTTAGTGAGTGAGTATGGTTTAACGCCGCTTTTAGGAGTATTCCAGCAATACCACGGCATGGGCCGGGGACACCAAAAATGGGCTTCACACATTGTACCCATGTGGGGAATCAAACCCGGGCCTTCGGTGTGACGAACTATCGCTTTAACCACTAGGCTACCCCACTGACGTAAACAAATGTTTCTTCATATACTTTCTCTGAAGGCTATTAAGTTATATCCTTATTTTAAATCAACAACTCACAAATATAACTGTCAACCCATGTCGCTTCACACAAGCTCTTCGCTATCACTAAAGTTTGTTCACGTTTCATTTTGTCACGAAACACAGATTGTTGATCTCCCATTAGAGTGAGAAAAATGACAGACTGTTCATCACATCTACATTAAGCATTATGTAAATACTTCAGTTTCAGATCCATGTGTAGTTGCAATGGATATCCCAGATATTGAGAAGAGAGACATACAATACCAACGATCCAGTGGCGAGGATATTATCACTGACAGATTCTTGAAAGAAGGGTGGTATAAACCGCAAAATGGTGCTGTACTGGCCGGAGAAGCTCCAGGGAGCCAACGTTGTGGAACAGTTTATCCAATATATAGAACAAGTAAGTTTTGATATAAACAATGATTATTACGGTTTAGAATCCGATACCACTTTCTATGTTTGGCAACCACCATATCAAAGAATAACAAATGGTTATTGATTGAATGAAATTTAGTTTCTGTGATTTCTGGTTTGGAGAAAATCATTTTATGTATTTTGTATCTGGTTATCTAAATTTAGATCTTTCAATGTTTTTGGGAGCTAGCAAAGGCCTCTCCGTGATTGGACTCTAGACTAAATAATCTTCAAATATTCACTATTAATTTAGCTACTGTATATGTAGTCCATTATATTGGTCCATTTGATCATCTTGATATAGCACGCCATTTATTTTGGTCTGGACCCGGTTGGATCTTATTGAAATTACCTTAATTATTAATGTGTTCATTGACATCTAATGATTCCTTAAATGCTTAATGTTCTATAAATGAATTGGACATTAACATGGATTGTTAAAAGCCGTCATTAAACTCTCATTAAGTTCTGCTTCTTTACATGTAAGATATCCAGTAACGTGTCATTAAATTAGATTGATCCCCTATAATTCTCCCATACCTACAAAGGCAAAGAAGCGTGCTCTTCTTCTTGCCAAATGCCAAGTAGCATGAGTGGGTCCTCGTTAGTACAGAAAGAGTGATTTCTAAATACCATTCCTTAGTCCTGTGAGCATGTCTCAGCAAATGTAGATGTTGACTTCATGGCATCCATTCCATGAGCCTGTCTCTCTGTGATTACTGATTGAATAACTAGGTATTTTATGTGTGATTCAAATATTATGTCATGCTTTCGAACCACTACCCATAACATCAACATATTTCCGTAAACATATATATTCATACATACTAGATAGCGATGCATTTGTTTTGTAATCTGTCATGTTTTATGGTTTTCTTGTAACCTAACACATATATTGTGCAACAAAAGTGGCGAACGGAACTCTTTTCGATATTGATAAGAAATACGATTCCTATTGTATCCTTAATATGTGTTTGTGTGTTACTATGAAATAGTGAAGACAACGGGTCTTAGAGAAAAGATGAGCGTATTCTGCCCCACCGGTGGCACCCGTTACTAACACATGCGAACACCTGTCAACTGATCACCTGAAAGGAACAACAACACGGGAATATATACGTTTTCAGTCAAGGTGGTCGCTGACGCTTCAAATTTGGTAATGCTATGAACACGTCTCAAGAAAACTTTACTAAAACATTAAATGTTGTAACCCTGATCAATCAACTTTGGTGCATGACTCGTATGGCGCTCTGAAATATTCGTAAAAAGTGGACTGCTTCCGTGGTCCAGTGGTTGAGCGGAAGGTCCGGGGTTCGATCCCCGGCCGCGTCAAACCAAAAGACGTTAAAAGATGGTACTTGTTGTTACCCTGTCTAGCGCTCGGCCTTCAGGGGCTAAAACAAGGACTGGTCGGCTCGGAGTCAGTATACTGTGTCTGAGTATGTATGTTAAACTGCGGCATGGTATCTCAGTGTGCCAGCACTATAAATCGGCATCATTCCGGACTGGTACAAGCAGCAACACACATGTGCATGCAAGTGCACTAATCCTGGACGCGACGTTAAACCCCATATCACCTCGCCTTACCTCTAAGAGGCTGTACGACAAAAGAGATGGCTTCAACTTTCCAACAGTCAACCCCTTCTCTCGAGCTATTTACAGCAGCTCCAGCCTTTAGTGTTTACATTTCTCAGAGCAGAAAATCAGGTTATTTTAAGGAACGGCATTTTATCAACGTATTAGCCTATATTAGATGTATCAGACGACCCGTGAAAATCAGGGGTGAAATAGGTCTTCAACAACCCATGTTTGTCGGAAAAGGCGACTATGCTTGTCGTAACCGACGTCTAACGGGATCGGGTGGTCAAGCTCACTGACTTGGTTGATGCATGTCATCATGTCCCAGTTGCGTGGATCGATGTTCATGATGTCAATCACTGGATTGTCTGGTCCAGACTAGATTATTTACAGACCGCCGTCATAATGCTGGACTTATGCTGAGTGCGGTGTTAAAAAATAAACAAACAAACAAACAACATGTATAAGGCATGTTCGGTTTAATGGTACCCCAAAACTTGCATTAACGTTTGATACAATCGGGTACTGTGTGTTGGTATTACCCTGTGTGCTAAAAGGGACTACAAATGCATCATTATGAGGTCATGATCTAATCCATTGATATATGAATTAACAAGCCAACAAGTCAGTGTATGTGAATGTGTTAAATCAGATATGAGCGGCCTCATTTCACAGCTGAATTTATCCCTGTTTTAGAAAAGGACGGCACCACATCTACTCTGTGCATTCAAACATCGAGGGAAGTTTGCTACAGCTCCTTCGAAATTCAAACACACATGTGTGAAGGTGTGGAGGTTTATAAGCTGAAAACAACAACTATTCACTATAGTGGATATTGCTTTGGTGAGTTATTTGTTTCATACCAAATGTAACACACTGTAATTATTATTTTACGATAACGCAGTCAGCAAGGCGTCACTGCCCAACATGAACTTTAAAGAAAATATTCAAAATAGAATACAGGACCTACAGTTTATTCCATTAAAATAATTCGTTTGGTCTCCATTAGCACCGGCTCCAGCTACACGTGAGTATTCTTGCCGAGCCATTACAAATAACTTGCTTGGTGTAAATCTGTTAGATTTGTATATACGTTTATATGTCAAAATCTGAATCTGAATTCAGAAAGATATGTTTTCACGACAAACCATGTATGTATGTATGTATGTATGTATGTATGTATGTATGTATGTATGTATGTATGTATGTATGTATGTATGTATGTATGTATGTATGTATGTATGTATGTGGTGGGGAGGGGGGTGGGTGGTTGGTCATGCTGGTTGGTAGGTGGTGGTTGCGTGTTTGTGTGTGCAGTCAAACACCGTTGTGTCGAACTTTGATGTGTCGAAATTTCGGTTACGTCGAAGTAAAATCTTTATTCATTATACGTCCCTTCAACTTCGACACAACGGTGTTTATATGTAAATGGTTGTTTATGTATGGATGAACGAACGTTGCATTCTCTAACATGCTTTCCAACCTACACGCTTTTACTTGAGCACTGTTAACATTGTTCCTACATGTAGGTACATCAACAATCATGATTAGTTTGGATTCTAACTTTTACATGGGTTTACATGGGTTTTAGCTGGGCTTAACGCCCCTTTTAAGAGTATTCAAGTCATATCGCAGCGTATCAGCTTAATATGGGAGGAAAACCCGAAGTGACGTAGGCGTTTAACACTTCGGTGAAACCCACGAACAGGGGTTTGGTGCTGACAAACCTATAAACATAATCGGGACAAACCGGGATTCATAGGTTTCTGGCGTGTCTAAGGGTCGCAACTCTGCACAGCGAATCGCGGCACCTTTGAGGACTGGGCCGACCCTGACCCCCTAACCTTTATATGGTTCTACTATATATATGCAGGAGAGGAAGTGTAGCCTTGTAGTTCGCTAGTCACGCCAAAGGGCAGGGTTCCCTTTCCCACACACGTAAAATGTGTGAGGCCCATTTCTAGTGTCAACCTCAGTGATATTGCTGGAATAGCTCTGCAAGCGGCGTAAAACTATGCTCTGACTATGTATTCATCAAAATGTGTTATAATAATCATGAAACTTTCCTACGATGCCCCAATCTTAAATCGATTGGTCTTATTGATGTAAGATTTACAGTTTTCTCATATTATACACTACCAACCACAAGTCCTGGGGCAGCAAATGAAGGAAAATTTATTCGAAAATATATCTTAAATTAAACCATGATCTAGTGTATCCAACATGTCAAATTTTAAGATATGCATCATCGCACTGCTTTGCAAGCTTTGTAGATATAACATTACATCGCTAGATGTCAGATGCTGCTTTTTAAATGGCTAGATTATAGAGGCAAAACATGCGCAATCCAGGGACCCTAACTGCTCTTATTGGCGCTGATGTTTCATTTTATTAGTATCTGCTAACCACATCATCTCTATCTCATCTGTCTCGTGCCGGTAGCATCAAAATTAATGTTAGCGAGCCTGCACGTTTGCTGTGTCAGTCATTCTCGGCCTTCGGTCTCAAAGGGTTGTTTGGACACTGAATATGCATTAGTTTCGCTAAATGTCCTGTGCATGACGATACACGTGAGCAGAAAGGGAATTCCCTCGACTGTAATATTGGGATTCCCCGACATTCCGTTGTCATAAAGTTAGTCCCACTCGGTGGGCGTGGCTTAATTTATCACATTCATTGGGAAATGGATGCAATAACACGTGACGAATTCAGCTAATCAGAATTTATAGTGCTAGTACACAGAGACACCATGCCGCAGTTTAACATGAATACCCCACTTAGACACTGTATACTGACTCTCAGCCGACCAGTACTTGCTTCAGCCCTTAATGCCGAGCACCAGACAGACAACAAGTACCATCTGACGTCTTTTAGCATGACGCGGCCGGGTATCGACCCCCGGACTTTCGTTCTCCGGGCGGACACTCGACCACTCTACCACTAGAACACGGAGGAAGTCAACATCAACCATTACAAACCGGCTATACAAGCCGCCTGAACGCAAGGCTTCCTGTGAAGGTGTGACCCTAACAGTCTACCACAGGCGGCACAGATTGGGGAGGGTTAGGCAACAAAGTACAGACTGTTTTACAGCATGTTTCCAGACAAAACTATGTTTTCACAGATGGCAGAAAACGTTTGCGACGTAGAGCCGAGCGGTATTCCATGACAGCGTTTCTTGACCATGATCGCGAGGGGGGCAATGATGTCATGGTGTCACGGTATCAGGCGAACTGATTTGGTTACTGTGAACTGATATTTGACTTGCCCGCACGTGTTGACAAACGTGTGCGTCCTGTCGTTGTTCAATTCGCTCGAATTATGAACATGAACATGACAGTGCCACACGTCGTCGTGCCCAGGTCGCCACAGATTATCTCCGACGAGAAGGTATACGAACATTGGCCGGGACCGTTAAGTCCCCTGAATGTCCCCAACAGAGCATCTGTGGGATGTTCGTGGGCGGAGAGTTTACGCCCAGCGACAGGTGGGATGTCGGTCATTACTGAGGGCGACCATACGCAAATTAATCAACAGGTGTCATGCACGTATCTCCCAACGTGTTGGACACACCAGATATGGGTCTACACGCCCGAAATTATTTGTACAGACATGTACCGTCATTACACCTTCGCTATCACTTCACTAGCGCCAGTTTATTTGCCGGAAGCACATATCACCACTGTATTTACACATTTTCGCGAGTTTGAGACTATAATTTTCTAAATATGAGTTGTTTCATTAATGATATACTTATGCGTGTTACAGTAAAATGAGGATTTCTTTGAAGCACGTTGATCCATTTGATGATGCGTGTATTTCATTGTGAATATGGCATAAACAGCTGGATTTTGAACAACATTATCATTACATATATATCGATTGATCCTTTACTACCACAACTGATAATGCACTGACAGTTATATTTCTTGTCATCATTGAAAAAGGATATGGGAGAACTTGTGAAAAAAGAATGCTTGTATTTGTAGCCCCAGATTTTAACGAGAAACCAACTGTTATTACCAAACTTGTCCGAAAGTTTGTTGATATAACGGAGTTGGAGTTCCACTGCGAGTTCAACAAACATCCCGACGACGTCTTCTACAGAACCTACTGGTATGTTGACGGGAAGTTGATGATTGTTAGAGATCCTGAGAAATGGGATGACGGAAATGTTACACAGAAACAGGTCTTGACAGAGGATGTACTGAGAACAGGAGGAATAACTACTGTTGGATTCGAGGTATGTTCGTCAGTTACCGACATAATGCAAGCTTGCATTTAAAACTTCTTTTACAACCCCATCACTCAAGTGTGGAAGTGCAAGCTGCAGAATCTCACTTGCACATAGCAGACGTAATTTAAATTTAACAATCGTTTTAAGTTTATTAGTATTCAAGCTTCACAAACATCTTGTTTGCGTATATGGGTACATCCAGCCTTCAAGAAACTGTTCCATCCCGACAACAAGGGGTAAGAGTCAGAGATGAAGCATACGTAAAATCAAATACAGATAACTCTTGAAAACCAACCTCATATCCGGCGACATTCACATTGATCAACACAACACATGGTTTATACTCATATACTTTACTAACGCTTCAGTCCAGCCTCAAAATACAATGTTTAAACAAAACAGGTTAGATTTGTCACAAAGGAGTGGTATTGATTTGCTTCAGTCACTGTAAAACCCTACTCTATTCCACTAGTGTTACAAGTATCTTCTTCAGGTGACCGGGTTTTGACCTTTCTTTGTCACATGTCATAGTACATCAACTTGATTCGTAAATATCTGACCATTAACTCATGTGTGTCGTAATTTGAATACTACCGGCGCCCACGTGACCGATTGAGAATCTCTTTATTGATTTTCTGAACCCCCCTGTTTAGTTTTTCCTGATGCAGGTGATTTTTTCTTTCTGCTGACTAACTGAATAGCAACCATCATGCCATGGACGCCATCACGATGATAAATGGGAAATATCCTTTCTCTATCGATTCCCTTCTAAGCCGAGACTTCCTGTCACTATGTCTGTGTACAGTGCATTCACATCATTGCATCTTTCACGGCGGTAATCATCATTTCAAAAGTTTTATCTGTTAAAATGTTAAACTGCATTTAACCTTAGAACAATAAGTCTTCAGCAACATATTTTTAACATTGCATTAGATAATACAGTTTTTGTCATTGTTGGCATTCATTTTGTCCAGCAAAAAAATTCAGTTTTCATTTGAGCGTCAGTCAAGTCTGATTGATCTGAGGTCATTGATATTTCAAATGCTTATAGCATATTGAAATGCTTCTAGCAGTAGAAATATTAATCAAAGCTGGACATGTTTTATATCAGACAAATGTATTGTGAAAATAATTACATACATATTCTCACATACCACACCTCGCCAAACCCAACAAATATCAACCCCTGGCACAGATACGATTCTGACTGCATCATGAGCATGTTTTCATGTCTCACTATGACGTAATGATGATACCACGTGTTTGCGAAAAGGTGAGCGTATCCTGCCCCACGAGTGGCACCCGTCACAAGCACATGCAAAGGCAAGTCAATGAATCACCTGCGAAAACACGGGATCATATGGTAAAGTAAAAACAGGGAATTGCCTCGAAATCATTTTTCTACTGATGCGTCAAATTTTGGAATGCCGTCCACATGTCTACCACAAAACATTTATAAAGCTTCAGTGAGGCCTTGGATGTCATAACCTTGATCAAACATTTTCCTAGCAACGGTTGTATGAAGCTCAGACAAACAGGGTCAAAGGAAACTGGCATATGTCATATGAATATTTCATTTGTGACGATTGTCTGTCACTCAGCAGATAACTTATCAAACCTGTACACCCGTGTGCCTACATGTTAGAGTGCAATGAATTTTAACTCTGTTCATGGAGTGGAAAAAAGCCTGTTGTTGTGACCTCACGAAAACAAGACGTCACAATAACTGTACCTTAAGTCTCTCTGATGATGTCAACCAATCAAACAATCTGCTTTTTCGGATTCTATTGATACAAAACATAAAAATCGAAACGTTAACGCCACAGCAAAACATTGATATAAATTATGTGAATGGATACTGAAAATCAGAGATGAAACCACGTGCTCTCGAGAAGGATAAGCACGTCCTGCTCAACCGGTAGCACCGCTACACACACAATTTGAACAACAATGCAAGGGTTTGTCCGTCGCCCAAAGCCACATCCACAACTCTCCCGCCGCATGAGCGGCACAGAATTTGACACAATTTGCACAATTTGAACAATGATGTTGTGCACAAACAACACAGAGGTGCGATAAGAAATTAGAGGCTAATTATATTCGAAGTAATCATTGTGATATTATTAGTAACACATATTATGTTGTACCTGCTAGGACGTCTGAAAGTAAGATAGTAAATGTATTTAGTGGACAACATTTATCATTTCATTTCAAAGATAAGCTGTTCCATTAGAGTGACTCATGGCATCAATACAACAGCGAGCGTTCCCGTCCAGTCTGATCGCAAGTTCATTGGCATAAAGGTAGGCTGTACAGATCCCCAACCGACTCGACAAGACAGGGACGTATGTCTCAGACAGCTAGATTTGATAATGTGATTTGCATGCGTATATTGCAACATGTAACACGCGCACCACTGAATAATTTACGATCTTTGTCGATCTGCTTTCTGTCTTAGTCGTAGTGCGTTGTTTGTTTGTTTGATGTTTAAGGCCTCCCTTCTCACGGTGGCTTCGTCGTCTACTATGTTACGTGAACCGACTTGGTTGCCATCAAACAATCCGATTGGGGATTTAACGCCGCACTCAGCATAATTCCAGCTATTTTACTGCGGTCTGTAAGTAATTGAGTCTGGACCAGACAATCCAGTGGTTGACATCATGAGCATCGATCCACGCAATTGGGATGCGATGACATGCATCAACCAAGTCAGCGAGCTTGACCACGCCCATGCCGCTTGCGACAAGCATAGTCGCCTTTTACGGCAAGCATGGTTACACCAGCAGAGGGTTAAACCAGAAGAGGTATTTGTGAAATAGGCTCACAAAATTCTGCTCACATTTCGTCGACATCACAGTCAAATAATATGTAACGTTGTGTAGTTTGATAGGCTGTACATGTAATTATATGTCAGGTGAAAAACCCTTATATTTGGAGTTCGATGCTGATTACAAGTCATTATCGTTTTGGTCTTTCCATTTCTTAGAATCTAGCGGGCGACCCTTAATAGCTTCTTCACTGAAGTACCTACAATTGTTCTGACCCGTGAAGATCAGTGAAGAGAAACTGATCGTTGGTTGAAGCATGTCATCGTATCCCAATTGCATAATTCGATGCTCATGATGTCATACAGCTGGAATATTGCTGAGTGTGGCGTACATCAACAGACATTTGTTCTACCTGTAAAGTGCAAACATAACATGTTTCAGATGTAAATTTGATGTTTATGATAGTCAACTCTCTTCTAACTTCATCATGTTGCTAATTAATACTGACTTCTGATTGCCAACAGCTGTCACACACCACATTAGTATTGAAGGAAGGGGAAAGGGCGAACATTTCGCTGCAGCTCACTGCCCCGTTTGGCTGCGAGACTTTTCGTGATCGTTGTGGAATAATCATCGCAGCACGTACTAGTAAGTATTTGACACCTTTTTTCGAATGTTTATTTTGAACAAATATTACGAAGAAGTCTCAATACTTATTCATTGCCCTTATGTGCAGCTACATGTGTGTGTCATTCATGGAACATTCTACAGGTTAAAATCACCCTGGTGAATAATGCATTGTTTATTACAAGTCGCGGCATGAAGAAATTTATTGAGACATTTGGGGCGACTGTAATACTGCAATTGTAGACAAAGCCTATTTTGGTTCCTTTGTGATTGGCTTCTCACCAGACTATTTAGTATGCACAAAACACCACCGATGGATCAAAACAATATTTTCTTATGCTAAACGTCACATGCTGTTTGCAAAATGTGCGTGAATAAATGAATGAAATACTATCCTTAAACCCATCAAAAACCCATTTGGTAATCAGTATTAGCATTTCTGCCGTTTTGAAATACGCTCGATATGAAACGTATAAAATATATATAACGTTCCATATATTTTATACGTTCTATCTATTCCAACTAATGTTGCTACCATTTGCAGATCCTTGCGAATTATTAACATAATTTGCGATAACGATGGTACCTAAACATATGCAAACATATCCTATTAATATACCTATGTAAGAATGCTTTACGATTATTCGATATTTTTACTTTAGCAAACAACCAGAGCCCAGGCCAATGTGGGAACAACATACTTTCACCATCTCTGTGTGGAGTGGAAATGCTGTCTTCTCCATTGGAAGTCGCTTACACCTTTACAGTCGTTGGCGGTATTACAGGCGCATATGGTTCTGCAACCAACACCCAAAAGTTGATCCTGACGACAGATCTTCATCTGCCTCATACATTGTGGTCCAACTACAGTCTCGGACAAATAACGGTAAATATACATTAATTTCGTGACTACTTATAAACCCAACCTGACACCTACCAGCCCATGCTAAAAGAACTACCATCAATAGGCTCATTTTGTTCATGACCAATATTGCTTTTGTAATCCCATCTTGAGGTATACATATAGAGACAAAACCCTTTCCATATCCAGTAGAAATCTCTGCATAGAGCAATGTACCGATTCGGACAATATCATGGGTATGTGTTTATGTATCACAATCAAATAGTAATGATACCAGGTGTTCGCGAAAAGGTGAGCGTATCCTGCCCTACCGTCGGCACCCATCACAAACACATGCAAAGGCAAAAAGTTCACCTGACAAAACACGGGAACATATGGTCAAAATAAGGTCACTGATGCGTCAAATTTGGAAATATCCTCCACATGACTACCATACAAAGCTTTACTGGGCCCTTGAATGTTTTAACCTTGACCAAACAACTTCATATCACATGAAATCATATCAACGACTTAGAAAACATAACAACTATACACATATCACTTGTTGTCAACATTACTTTTTTTTCAAGTATAATCTATTACACAGCATTATAGGCACTTGAGCCCATACTCTGTGGAACGCCTGACGTTGTTCAGCTGCAGTTGTCGACCTTGGTCAGTGGGATTTAAATCGGGACTGAGGGCAGGCCACTGCATGGTTCTGATGCTATTCTGCTGGAGGAAGTCTCTTGCTGCTCTCGCAGTGTGGGCACGGGCGTTATAATGCTGAGACTCGCGGTTGCGGCGACGTGCCAAATGAGGCATGGCGTGTGGTCTCAAGACTTGATCAATGTACCGAGTTACACCATTGCCTCTCCCTGGACCAATGTTCTGGAAGACTAAAGGCCGACCCTCAGTGCAAGACGAATTCCACCCCACACCATGATGCTCGGACCACCCCACGAGTCTCTCAAAAATAACCTCAAGCATCCGAATAACGTTCCCCATGGCGTCGCCAGACTTTCTCTCTGCCATCTTCTGTTGAGATACAGTAACTGTTCTCGTCTGAGAAGAGGACTCTTCTCTACTGCTGGTGACGCCAATGCTGGTGCTGTGTTTCCCACTGAAGTCGGTCCCTGCGATGATGTGGTGTCAGAATGGGTCCTCGGTGTGGCCTGTGACAGTGGAGGTGTCTGCTCGTCAATCATCGACGCACGGTGTCCGCACTAATGTGTCGCTGGTGTGTCCCCGTGGTCTGTCGAGCAGTTTCCGCAGCAGTAACAAAGCGATATTGAAGATGCTGTCGCACAATCTGCCGATCCTGACGTCGGGTGGTGATCCTTGGCCTTCCACCACGTGGTCGCGATCGGTCATCTGTAGTGTTGGTGGTCTGGTACCGTTGCTGGAGCCTGTATATTGTCCTTACGTGGACATTGGCTACTTGCCGGGCGGTCCGTCCTGCTTGCAATTGTCCTAGGGCTTGGTGTTGCTGATTTCTTGTCAATCTAACATGTGGTAGCAATTCAATAACGAATGAATGTTATCCGATCTGGGTGGATTTATATAGGGCAATAAATGGGGGAACGCATGTGCATTTCAATTTTCACGGAACACACGTGCATCGGGTTACAATGGCCATTGGCGTGATGCGTTTGGGCGATCGGTTTTATTGTCTTTTGCAGTGGGTTTTTAATCATCAAATTTCATTTTTCCGGACAAGGTTATGTTAAATTTTAGAAACTTTGACAAAAATTACCAAGATATTTAAATGACAACTTTTCAAGCAATGTTACTTGGGGTGACGTTTCTTTAGCGGTTCAGATTATTACGCGGGTAGAATAACGCGTAGTAAATCGCCATCGACAACTTGAACATGTAAACAGTGCTGTTCATTTGTCATTCTTGTAGTAGATACAAACCCGAAAAATCATAGGCATAATTCATAGCTATCTCCATATAAGTATTTAGAAAGTGTTGCCTGGGAATAGCAATTTTTCAGGGTTGAGAAAAATAATAATCAGTATCTACTTATACTGTAGCTTAAAGTTTTCAACAATATCTTCATCACATCGTGTAAGATTTACTCGTTTGTTGGCCCCAGAAGATTGAATGTAATAGAGGTACTACAGCCAAAGTCAAACAAACCATAATTTTCAGTCTGTATTACTGTTACGATGATCATTATTCTGTTGAAAAACAGTAAGTTTCCTGTATGATTTATGTAACACATGGTCACGGTTACAGGTCCAAATCACAAAGGACACTTCCAAAATACAGAACAAGTTTTGCTATGCTACAAATGATCCTCACATGAAAACATTCGATGGCAGGTAAATACATTTACATTGTTTTAGTGGTTGAAATGATGTCTATATTTAGTGTACATAGAGTGTGTTGTAACAATGTTTTGGTATTTTTTTGTACAGGTGTGTATGCAGACGTTTATAAATATTTGATCATAACAACTTAGCATTTTAGCTGAGGACTGTTTTCAGTTACAAGAGGAATGCACTTATATCATTTATATATAATATTCGTGTCCCGACCATCTGATATTCTAACGGGCCCGAGAATAAAACAATTTCTGGTCAAAATGCTTGAAATTTTCAAATTCATCAGTAAATATATTTTTTCTAGACGATACGAACACCAATATAATGGAACTTTTACAATGTACAAACACGACAAGCTTCCCATTGAGGTAAGACATCAATTAAAATTAATATTCGATTTCTTTATGGGTTTTATGTTTGAGTTCGAGATTCTTTCGCAGTAAGTTATACCATATCATGTAGCTGTAAATCATACTATAGACATTGCAAAACATTGGCATTGATTTCAAGATATGTCAGTGTAAGATCCTGGGACAGTACATAAACATGTAATTTACCAACCAGGTAAGACGTGCTAAAATAGCTCAGATACGGAGAGCTCATCTGAAAAAAGAGGGTAACAACGAATGGGTGAAGCCTCGGGACAAAGCTTCACGACAAAGTAGTAATAAGGAGAAGTTATCACGACATGTGTGTTCGCCATGTGCATTGGGATATTGGGCTAAATAAACAGAACCTTCCATGACATGGTTTCAAGGTTCAACTCAGGACGACCGAATGTGGACCTCTAGCTTGGTGTAACTGTGGGTTGGCTGTGCGGGCAGGCAGGACAGTGTTTGAGTTCAACAGGTGCGGGGATCTGACCAACATTTGGAAACTAGAACACACACTGTGTGATGATGGTGAAGACGTGCTGCAGGTTAAGAGAAGGGGAAGCAGATATGAGGTAAATTTTATATTAATAAAATATTAATCTTACTGATAACAAAACGTTTATAGCGCTAGGCTGCACCAACAAGTGGTATGCCCAAAGTGCGTGCAAACACAATGGGTGGTTTTAGGCACAATGCGTGAACAGATTAATTCACTTGTTTTCAAATTTCAAACTCAGGAACATGTGGCTTTTTTGCGGCTATCTCGGTTGGCCAAACGTTTCAAAAACTATACTCTCTCTTTGCTGCTTTCGGTTGTTACTCTTTGTAGACCCAGCAATCAGCCAAGGCTAATGAAGTCATTTGATTCAATTCGAGAACACAGATAACGGCTATTAATTATGTTGTCCAAATTGTTCCAAACACGGGGAGGAGTGTGTGTGTGTGTGTGTGTGTGTGTGTGTGTGCGGGGGCTGGGGGTGGGGGGGTGGGGGGGTGGGGGGGGGGGGGGGGGGGGATGGCATTAAACCGTATACATGTTCACACCAACCACAAGTGATTGGTTCAGTTCACAAAGAATGACCACTGAAGTGACCTTGACTTTAAATGAAGGTCGCTCTGAACCTCACAACTTCACTAACTTGTCCTAAGGAAGAAGTACCAAATATATTACACAGGACAGTTGTGTGTATCAGTTGTGATACCGTGAACATAATATTTTTTATAGTTTATGATGTTGGAATATTAACTAACACACAATGTAAATTAAACGCTTTTTGAGTTGTCTAAAGAACCGAAACAAAGGCAAAATTTCTTAAATACGCTATGTACATGGTATGATATCTTTGAGATGATCAAGCGCCACATGTACACTGATCCTCGAGTAGTTCAAATTAATACACAACCCTAAAGCATCCTCTTTCTTTGGCTGCGAAACATGTAGAGTGAGTGAGTTGGGTTTAACGCCGCTTTTAACTGTATTTCAGTTATATCACGGCTTGTCAGTGATGAAGGTCTCAGACGTTTACCACTTCGGTGAAACACACGAGCATGGGTATGGTGCTGACAAACCTAAAAACGGGACAAACCGGGATTTAAACCCACAATCAAAGGTTTCTGGCGTGCCCAAGGGACCCAACTCTGCACAGCAAATTGCAGCGCCTTAGACGACTTGGCCACCCGTGCCCCCGCTAAACATTTTGAAGCATCATGTGTAAGGAATGGTAAAATTTAGATTCAAGCCAAACGATCAGAACTATGACAATCAGGTGCAATACATACATACATTCAATGAATGAGAACACATGTTACAGCAGACAACTACCTAGCTCTTTCTTTCGCACTTAATGTAATCAAACAGGGTTAACATAGTAGGGTCTTCACATTTCCTGAAAATTTGTATTGAAGATATACCTGCCGACAGGAGGGAAAGTCAGGGTCAACTTGTATGGCAGCTACCTCGATGTGTACATCTACCCGTCGGTCCAAGATATCGAAAACAGTAGAGGTCTCTGTGGTAAACTGTCCGATGTCTGCAGCGACGACTTTATAATGAGAGACGGGAGCTACTCCACTGACATCACTTCTACCGATGATTGCAATGCCCCGTACAGGAACTGGGAGAATCTACTCACGACATTCTCCAACTCCTGGAGGTAAGGGATGATCTCTGTCATACGAATTTTAGGACTTTGATATGCCAAATTATTCACAAATGAGAAGAGGATGAAACCTACCATAAGCTGACACGATGTGCAACATACATTGACTTTCACACATGAGGTGTGGAAGGCCACGTGTTCCTCCACGGGAATATTCACATGTTCACCTCTACAGGCATTATTAATAACATTGTATAATGTTAATGTATCAGGAAGGTTCGTTTATATCGAAGAAGGTTGTATAAATTGAAAGTTTCATGCATTATATTTATGATTTGGATACAGTAGGTAAAATGTCTTGCATGACATTTTAGATACATTAAAACTTAGAACATGGCGTTACCAGAGGTTGCTTTGTACATATTGCCAAATGTGTTGAATTTTTATTCACTTTGTCCGTTTAAGAACTATTGTTAAAATCATTTTAATATTTATGCGTTGATATTAAGTAAGCAAATGTTAACAATTGTTCATTGTTGGCAAAATTGCTTTGACGCTATCCTTTCATTATAAATGCTATTGATGTTGACAATTTTGTTAGGAATATCTAGTTTTACTTCTCAGGAACAAGTAGGGCCAATAATTACAAGAGACATATACTAAAGATAATTTAATGCCAGATTGTTGTTTTGGATTGAAGCTGTTTATGTTTTGAAAATTGCTTTGTTTCAGAGTTGACTTGCAGACAAACGACCTCTTTAATCCAGATTTGAATACGAGCTTGGGTCCTTGGCCGAGGTCAAACGCATATTGTTCTTGTACAGAACCTCAAAATGGACAACCTGTCCGCGAAGTAACCTGCAAGGCCAGTAACGCGCATAGGATTTGCTCCCCATCAGAAGGGTACACTTCCGTAAATGCAAAGTGTACAATCAAGGAGCGACGCAAGAGAAGGTCTGTAAAAGTGACTTCTACGGGAAAGGAAATCTACAGACACAAAAGGGTAACAAATACTCGTGACACTTTGTCCGTATCTATCCCTCCAACACAACTACACTGCTTTGACACTTTGAATGCATGATCACATGCATAATGTCCACAAAAGGCGCTCATAGGAACCAAAACAGTGAACGTGCGACAAAGCCGTCATGAAATGTGATATGCTGTGCTGAATAATGTGATATAATGTGATATTTGTGTTTGGCGATATTTAACTTTTTACCTACCTATGGCCTTAAAGTGAACAAGGTGTTAGGTCCACCTATCATTGAACTACTGTTGTTGGCCTTCATCTGCCGTCTGTCCGCCCGTACGTCATTAATGTCAACCTTTCTTCCTCAAGGATTAGAAGTCTTTAATTGACAATAGACAATAACTACTTCTGATAGAAACAACTGATTTGACCACCACGTGCTTGAATATTGAGAATGTTGACTACTGGAAAGTTAAAGCCATCCCTCTTGTCACACAGTCTTGTTGAGATATGTTTGTCAATCTTTATGCATTCATCTGAATACGAAAGAGGCGAGGTGGTCTCCCTCGTCTCTTTCATTTCAGGTGGAAATAGTTCAGATATGAAATCTCAACTGAACGTAGTGTCCGTTCTATACACCATCGAATGATTAATGAAAATCATTAATGCCTTCACATAAACCCCTCACTATTCTATAGAAAGGCTAAAATTCTATGTCAGACAAACAATCTATGTATTCTGTGAACTCATTGGTACCAATTGACAATAAAGCTGAAAAAAGGCAGAACGCATTAATGCATATTTTCTTAAATTGTAAATTCTTGGTGATCAAATATTTGTCTACACAGCAAGTCGAAGGAGAGTGGCTAGACGGATGGACAGAGGGAAAAGCCAGGGCCTACTGTGAGAGAGTATTCGAGGAATCTGGGTCCGTGCAAGTCTGCAGCAACATGACTGGAGTTGACACAGATGAAAGCTTGGACAACTGTGTACTGGATATACGAGTATGTTTTATTTACATCGATCTTATGTTGTGGTCACCTTTATGAAACAGACCACCTTCGTCGCCGAGGGGTAGCGCGCCCCTCCTGAGAGTGAGTTAAAGCTTTACGTAACATCGGCAGTATTTCAGCCATATCGTGACGACAACTACATTAATAAGACATATATTGAGACGAAATAAAAACCTGTCAACGACGGACAGTACAATAACTAGCATATCACAGATTTTATTTAAAACTAGTTGAGAATATTAAAAATTAGTAAGTATTAGAGAACAACACAATATAAAAATGGGCTAGAGATCGGCAGTCACTGAAGGGTGATCACCTTACTAGGGACCATAGGGACTCATAGTACCTTTGCTTCCTGCATGGACCCCGGCAGGATTTATATCACCCTACAGTCACTGGCGATAATTGACCAGTTAAGCCTAAGATTAAAATGACAAAAATACTACGTCAAAAAGCCTAGCATGCATAAAAATACTTCGAATGATTTGGGACTTACATACCCTCTTAGGAGGACAATAATTTTACGCTACTTCAACCCAACTCGCGGGTACAGCCACTAACAATCTCAGTTATTTATTAGCACTACCAATATCTAAAAACATATTATGTACATCAAAATATATGAATTAATTCAATTTCCTTTAAAAAGCACAATATTAAATGAGAATTTACGTGATTAAAAAGGTCTTTTACTGTTTTTACATGATAATATTTATCCCTTGTGATGGAAAAATCAACACAGTCAAGCATGTTTTATATAATTTGCTTGACTGTGATTTTTTCATCACAAGGGATGCAAAACGGAGGATACTCACCTTTCAATAGATACTCATTGGTATATCTCGAATGGCCAATACGACAACGTCGCATAATGACCTCTTTAATTCTGGACTGACAACCCAAGTAGGTGTAACCGATATTTGGTTTAATTTGATGTAATTTATTGACACCTACTTGGGTGCCCCACTTCTTTTGCATCAGATCAGGAATGTAAGATCTAATTGCAGGTTTATAATCAGTGTTGGGGATGAGAAGTGGTGTCACAGATTTGGTGAGTGCTGCTTTAGCAGCAGCATCGGCCATTGTTTTACCTGTTATACCAACATGGCTTGGTAACCAACAAAAGACGATGTCATATTGGCCAGTACCAAGCAAGTCTAATTAATTCCAGAATTTGGATTAAAAGTGGATGTTTCTAAGACATATTTTTAATCGCCTGAAGGCACGAAAGTGAATCAGAGAAAATAATGAATTGTTTATGTTTAGATTGATTACTGATATATTTTAGTGCTGTTAAAATTGCGTGTGCTTCTGCTGTGAATATGGAACTGTTATCAGGTAATCGTGAAGATATTGTTCTGGATCCAATGATAGTGGCACTAGCAACTGCGCCACCATCCTTGGATCCATCTGTAAATATAGATTTATAAGTGTCGTACGTGTTTCTTAATTGATGGTATTCTTGTTGGTAAATTAATTGGTTAGTATCTGATTTCTTTAATTTTGTTAATGTAAGGTCTACTTCTGGCCTTACCATTTGCCAAGGAGGCGATAAAAAAAGTTGTGTGGGAGCTATATTTTGAAAGTTAATCAGAAACGACTGATTTTATTCTTATTCCAAGTGGTGGAACAAGAGATGATTTCTTATTGTAAATATCTTTGTAAAGAGGATTAAATACGCAATTAAAAGCTGGATTTGACTGATTAGAATATAATTTAGTGATGTATTGTAAAGATAGTTTCAGACGGCATTGTTTAAGAGAAGGCTTATCCGCTTCAACAGACAGAATAGGAGAAGTGCGAAAGGCTCCAAGGCAAAGCCTCAGTCCTTGGTGATGGATAGTATCTAGTTTTTTTAGATTACTTTTACATGCTCCACCATAGACGATAGAGCCGTAATCAAGTTTTGAACGTATCAGTGACCTGTATAAGTGTAAGAGGGTTGTCTGATCCCCTCCCCACTTCGAATTAGATACAACTTTCAACAAATCAAGCGCCTTCAGGCATTTAGCTTTAAGTGATTTAATGTGGTAAGAAAGTTAAATGGCTATCAAAGATGAGTCCCAAGAATTTGGCCTCCTTTACAACTTTGATAGGGGTGCCATTCCAAAATAATTTAGGGTCTTTATGCGGCTTATACTTTCTGCAGAAGTGTATACAGTTAGTTTTAGATTTAGAAAATTTAAAACCGTTTTCTAGACACCACTTTTGAATTCTATTGAGACAGATTTGTAACTGCCTCTCTATTGTATGCATATTCTTTCCCACAACAAGATATATTAAAATCATCCGCAAAAAGTGATCCATCTACTGAATCGTTTTAAACCTTGGAGAGACTATTTATTTTAATGCTAAATAAAGTGACAGACAAAATACTGCCTTGCGGGACACCCTGATCCTGATTATAATGGTCAGACAGGGTTGTACCCACTCGGACTTGAAATTGCCTGTCAGTTAAAAACTGGGATATAAAATGAGGTAAACGACCTCTCAAGCCAAAATCATGTAAATCCTTCAAAATGCCATGCTTCCAGGTAGTATCGTATGCTTTCTCAAGATCAAAGAAAATTGATACTACGTGTTGTTTATTTACAAAAGCATTTTTAACAAAGGATTCTAACCGTACTAAATGATCAATAGTACTTCTATTTTTGCGGAAAGCACACTGAATATTTGTGAGAAGGTTATTGGTTTCCAGATACCAATCTAATCTATAATTCACCATTTGTTCCATGGTTTTGCAAACACAACTGGTTAACGATATAGGCGCCCCTCCTGAGAGTGGAAGGTCCGGGTTTCCATTTCACCTCACTTCACCTTTATGAAACATGGGTGTTATATGCGAAATTGATAATAAAAACAAACGTTATTTAGACAGGTGTTGACGCATGTACATCTTTGTTTTACATAGGCTTGAGTGACTGCCGAATATGGCTGAAAACATATTACCAATATAACTCATTCTTTAAGATTGAAAAGTAAACAACAATCCAAAGAAAAGTGTGATTTAATTAAGACATAGCCTCTTTTACCAAATATCATGGACATTGGTATTATGTATATGCATGGTTTATCCGTTGCAACCCCTTTGGAACCTTCAGTTTCAATGATAACTATAATAACCAGCTGATTGTGTTTTAAGTCCACCACTCTGTTACTCATGCACAATTATCGATAAAATCCTGTCATCGTGTATGCGTTTGCTTCGTTTGGCTTTTGTATTATTTCGTGACTGTTTATGGTATAAAATGCTGTTTTACTTTTTATAGTATTTCTTTTAAAAATGTCTATTTCGTGTATGTAATGATTTAATCTATAATATTAGCTGACAGGTAACACGACGTTTTCTCCATCTGCCGTTGACACGGTGAGAGACAAGTGTCTCTATGAAGTCAACATTAACCCTGAACTCCAGCAGAGCAGTGAGGCGTCCAACCAGTCCGTCAAGGCCATCGTTGAGGCAAGGACGTGTTCCGGAGACTGTGGTGGACATGGATCGTGTGTTGAAGGTACAGTAAAGTTTGTGGATAAGAAAACACGCCAGCACTGACCATTTCACGGCCCTATGTAAATTAACGAAAGCGCAGTGTGAATTTCCACTTTGAATCCGGCCTTGATACCTTCTGGAAACCCTCCGGGAACCTTACGCAATCTTCAATTTTCTTGGTAAGTTTCAAATATTTTTTATCTGTTTCACACTTAATTGAACAAAATACACCCCCGCCATATTTTGACATTTTTGGGGAATGTTTCCGGAAGGTTTTCAGAAACCTACACTTTGTTTGCTGTGAGATCGGAATATGCATTAGACAAAGTCGTAATTTCACATTTGGACTCACGAGTAGCTGTAAAATAAGATTTATTGATGTTGTTATGAGGGGTAGATACTTTTTCAATATTGACAAGGTCAAAAATATCATCGATTGATGGACCTGTGATTTGTAAACACACCTAGCCACTTGTCAAAAATATATTGATCAAAGGTAATCTGAAACCAGGTAAGATTGATGTTGAGTGATGTGAAGCAATTCAACTAGAGCAGACACATCTCTGGAAAAAAGTTACAGTTGATCTTTGTCTTTAATGATCTTTGTCACTGTTCCTCATGATGATCAAAACTAAGGTTCACCAACAATCGATTCACATCCGTTTAGTTATATACAGATACAGAAAACGTCATTGCAGGTACATGCGTTTGCAAAGAAGACTGATGAAGGCTGATGAACCACATTTTGTACTTTTGCAACAGTGTTGTTACATACTGGTAAAATGCAGAGTTAGTTTTCATGTATCACGCAATCCCTTATTGTAGGTGACTGTGTTTGTGCCAAAGACTACGGGGGTGGTGACTGCTCTGTTCATCTCACGGACCCTCCGGAAATAGACAGCATAGAAGATGATGGCCACTGTGACACGTCACGTGGTCCTTGTCAAGCAATCTCAGTTTATGGAGAGACATTCCTCGATAACCAAACATCATGCCTCATGGAGGCTGTAAGGGTAAATATGACTTTTTCAAATATTTTGTTTGTCTCTCGTGTAACGCCGCTCTCAGCAATATTTCAGCTATATAACGGCGGCCTGTAAATAGTCAAGTGATTGACATCATGAGCATCTATCAACGCAATTGGGATGTGATGACATGAATCAACCAAGTCAGCGAGTCTGACCACCCGATCCTGATAGTCGCCTCTTAAGAAAATCATAGTCACCTTTTACGACAAACATAGTCGCCCTTTTTTAAATGGAATTAATGATGCAGGAAATAACACATTTAAAGTCCAACTGCGGTCCTTTTCAGTTTCAACAAAATCAGTAAATGTATAATTGTGTGACTGGGTTTCAGGTCAATCAATTGATTGTCTGGTTTGTTTACATCGCGCCGTCCTATGGCTGGAGTCCTGTATGCTTCACAGGTATACAGCACCACCAGTGACAATATATGGGCAAGAACGTCGCGTGGGTCAGTTATCAGCATCAGCCAGGTCGACTGTGATATTTCATCTCTGGGTGTGACTGAAGAGGCTGCAGAGGATTCTGCCTTCATTTGGGCCTTTAGAATTGCAGTTTCTAACAACCCGTCCAACTTCAGTGAGAGTGTCGGCATGATCATGTATGACAGCACCTGCGTCAAAGGCACAGTGAATGGGACAGACTTCAGTTGGACACTTGAGGTTTTAAACGTCATGATTCCAGTTTAATTTTTGAGAATATATAAGCAACCTGGCCGTCAGCTGGGGAATATGTAACCTTTGTTGTGCTTGTACATCTGTATACCATTTAGAGGCAACACTTCTCACTGATCCTAATAAATGACAACTCAAGTCTTGACCGCAGATCTGGCATTATGAGCAACATTTAAACATTAAAGAATAATGAAGTGATCAAATATGTATACGCCTAGACCTTTCTGAACCAACTGATGAGATTGTGCTCTTGGATGTTCTACTTGGTTATATTGTTGTTGTTGTTGTTGTTGCAGGGACCATATTGTTTACATGGGGGGACATGTCTTCTGCAAGGTACCACTCACCCGCTTGATCCGTGCTTGGTCTGCCATGTTTCTGGTAGTGCAAGAAGCTGGACAAACAGTGCAGGTGATTAATCTTTTCTGAAACGTACGCTCATTCAGTAGTGCTACATTATGGAATATTTTGTAACAGTATATTAAAAGAACAACTGTGTCAACCCCTTTTAATGAATGGGTTAATTATTATATGTATTTTTCATCAACAGCGCCTACATGCTCTGCAACCATTACAAATACATCTACATCTACTATCAGTCAATCAGTTTATTCGGTAATAAGGCCTCAGGACCACGTACAGATATATACAATTTAGTTTCACATCAACTGATGCATGAAATAACATTTACAGGTAAGAAGAACGAAGACAGATAACATCTTTTACATAACTGGCTAAGTTCTCAGAAGAGCTTAACATTCTAGCCAGTATGTCTTTACGATAATTACCAGTAATAAAGTCTAAATATGGGAAATACTTTGAGCGAATATCTTCATAAATAGGACAAACAAGAATGAAATGAATTTCTTTAAACTGCCCTTAACTTCCATAATGGACAAAACCAGGGTGTCTTATCGATGACATCCCTCCTTCCTGTGTTATGTATAATTCCTAGTTCTCCAATACGTAAAAGTGTAAGCATTCGTCGCTTTTCTTTTGATAATACATTTAAAAGATACAGTTCAAGTGATGATGTCTTAAATAATTAATACAGTACTAATTTCGAGCATCAAGACACCCCAGAACACCATATTTGTGCATGACGGTCCTTAACCCTAAGTATAAACTCTCTTATAAAATATTCAGGATCACCAGCACCTTGAATTCCCACACATGTCTGAATATAACATATTCTTAATAGCAGAAACCCATGTATTTCTACCAACAGCATCAAACCTAACTAACATATTGTTTGAGCGCTTTGGAAATCTCTCCTGAGACATATTAAGAAGCTGAAACCAGTATCTTAGACATCCTGTGTAAGAATCAGTATAAATACCATATCGACCACATTCTCCGAGCACTGCAACATTTGTAGATTTGGAACAAATACCCAAACCAGATGTACAAAACTTCGCTTGGAAACGTACGAGAAACAACCATTTATGAACCCCCCAAATCTCCGAACCATATAAAATAATAGGTTTAATCTGAGAGTCGAACATTTTAAACAACACTTTAGGAGCGATATTTCAAAGTTTATAAATGAGCTGTTTTATAGGAATTAAAGAAATCATAATTAATGTAACTATCATCAACCGGTGTTTTTAAGCCAACTCATTGATGAGGTTTTTTTAATATTGGCTAGCATTCTGCACAACCACCAGTGGCTAAAGTGAAGACGTAAATCCTGCTGGGGTATCATGCAGGAAACAGAGGTACTGTAAGTCCCCATGATCCCTAGCGAGATGGCCTAGCTTTGGTTAGTGGTGGCCTATAGCCCATGTTTTAAAACTGTATATATAATATTGTTATGCTCAAATATATTTCATGAATTGTTTCTTAATATAGTATGCTTAAATATGTTTTCAACTTGTTTTTAAACAAAAATTTGCATTTCTGACTAAATTGTATATATTTTAACTTGGTCTCGTCGCTATATGACTGAGATTTCGCCGGCATATTTCTCTAAATCTGTTGCGGACTACATGAAAGTTCTTTAAAGTGTCTGTATCACCACTAATTCTAAACAGCCATACCACTGTCCTCAGCACACTCTTGAATAATAGATGTCAAATGTTCTGCCTTTCTTTTCAGAAGAGGTAATACAGTTAGATATTTCTCTAACTGGCATCTTAAGTAATCTGTCTTTCAAAGAACATAAAAAAGTTCAACGTTCTGAGAAGGCCATATATATTTCGGTATTGAAACACTTTTTTCTATTAGTTCTGTCAAATGTTTTATCACATTAGGTTTACACTTAAGACTACAAGTAACTGGGACCTGGTTTGATTCAGTACGTTTCTGAACAGTAAAGTCTAAAAATGAACACAATTAACCAGCTGAAGCAGCCAAATAGTGGACAACGCTGGCCCAAGTGTTTGCAAAACACGTGAATGATCATACTTCATGTCATGTAAATATGGAATGTAATCAATATCGTCATCACATAATATATAGTCAGGCAGTAAACCAATGCGTGCGTTAAAGTCTCCTGCCATCATAAAATGAACGTCTGGGTAATCTCTTAGCCATTCTAGTAAACAGTTCTCTAAATTATCAACACCTCTGGTCCTGGGGTATCTGTCACCAAAGAGCTATTATCAGGGTGAATGTAAACAAAAGACAAAAGAATATCCTTCTGAACATTAATTATACTTAAATCGAGCACAATTAATATACGGTCACTAAATAAAGAGTTCACGTGTTTTATCACATTGATTAATGTCTTCCTCACGAAGGCAGCCACGCCACTCTATTGTTGTAGTCACGCTTGTTCAAATACACTGAGTACTGTTCAATCATACTTTCTAAGTTTTCCTTTGAACAACTTTTTCAGGTTTCAAGATATGCAAATAATTCATACTTTTCGCAGAAACTGACAAAGCTAGAGTTTTTAGTTTATTCATCAAACCTTGCACACTCCATGACATAAGGAAAAACATCCATGCGGACCTCGGCCATCCTCCAAGCTCTTAGAAGTATCGTGCAGGGAGTCGTCCCGCCTCTCGGTCATGTGCACGCGGTTGTGTTTTGGCGAGCTGTACATGGGCGTTTGTTTCCAGATCACATTTATTAGTTTTCCCGTTTCCAATTAAAAGTTATCAAATCGCAACTGACACCTCTCACCACGTTCTCTAGCGTCATCCATCAGCACTTTGAGGTGTTTGCGTTTCTGCCGGACAGCATAGGAAAAGTACTCTGATATTGCGTTTCTGCCGGACAGCATAGGAAAAGTACTCTGATATTGCGTTTCTGCCGGACAGCATAGGAAAAGTACTCTGATATTGCGTTTCTGCCGGACAGCATAGGAAAAGTACTCTGATATTGCGTTTCTGCCGGACAGCATAGGAAAAGTACTCTGATATTGCGTTTCTGCCGAACAGCATAGGAAAAGTACTCTGATATTGCGTTTCTGCCGGACAGCATATGAAAAGTACTCTGATATTGCGTTTCTGCCGGACAGCATAGGAAAAGTACTCTGATATTGCGTTTCTGCCGGACAGCATAGGAAAAGTACTCTGATATTGCGTTTCTGCCGGACAGCATAGGACAAGTACTCTGATATTGCGTTTCTGCCGGACAGCATAGGAAAAGTACTCTGATATTGCGTTTCTGCCGGACAGCATATGAAAAGTACTCTGATATTGCGTTTCTGCCGGACAGCATATGAAAAGTACTCTGATATTGCGTTTCTGCCGGACAGCATATGAAAAGTACTCTGATATTGCGTTTCTGCCGGACAGCATAGGAAAAGTACTCTGATATTGCGTTTCTGCCGGACAGCATAGGAAAAGTACTCTGATATTGCGTTTCTGCCGGACAGCATAGGAAAAGTACTCTGATATTGCGTTTCTGCCGGACAGCATAGGAAAAGTACTCTGATATTGCGTTTCTGCCGGACAGCATAGGAAAAGTACTCTGATATTGCGTTTCTGCCGGACAGAATAAGAAAAGAACTCTGATATTGCGTTTCTGCCGGACAGCATAGGAAAAGTACTCTGATATTGCGTTTCTGCCGGACAGCATAGGAAAAGTACTCTGATATTGCGTTTCTGCCGGACAGCATAGGAAAAGTACTCTGATATTGCGTTTCTGCCGGACAGCATAGGAAAAGTACTCTGATACCGAATAGCCAGTGTCTTTCAGGAGTTTTATTTTGCCAAGTACAGCTGATTTTACATTAAAATCCAGAAATTTGACAATAATTGATTTACCGCAATTAACACGATGAGCTCTTTCAATAATCACGTCAGTATCAATGTCCATAGTGTTCTTCAGAATTTCTCGCACACAATCCTCACAATCTTTACAGGTTTCTTGCTGTTTAACTTTCGTTGTACCGTGGAATAAGAGATTGTTTCGACGACTTTGATTTTCGAGGTAGTCCAGTTTCGTAGTGAGTGTTTCCACTTCTCTTCTCAGGGATGTATTTTGTTTCTCCAAATGACCACATTTTCAGTTCAAATCAGTAACCGCTGTTGCAAGTGAAGTTAGCGTTGCAGTCATCGTTGATAACTTGGAAGACAATCAGTCTATTCTACTATGAACCCCGTCGACTACCTCATCAGTCCAAATAACTGCTTCTACCAAAGCCACCATCGTCGTATCTGCTGAGACTAACACAAATGTTGAGAAAACAGCTGCCGCAACTACATCATCTCTTGAGACTTTAACATCTGCTGCGACAGCCAAGACGGCGAGACAACTACACCTGCCGCAACTACATCTCTTGAGACAACAACTACGGTGACAGCCACACCTGCCGAGACTACTACACCTGGCTCAACTACATCTCTTGAGACAACAACTACGGTGACAGCCACTCCTGCCGAGACTACTACACCTGGCTCAACTACATCTCTTGAGACAACATCTACGGTGACAGCCACTCCTGCCGAGACTACTACACCTGGCTCAACTACATCTCTTGAGACAACAACTACGGTGACAGCCACTCCTGCCGAGACTACTACACCTGCCACAACTACATCTCTTGAGACAACAACTACGGTGACAGCCACTCCTGCCGAGACTACTACACCTGCCACAACTACATCTCTTGAGACAACAACTACGGTGACAGCCACTCCTGCCGAGACTACTACACCTGCCACAACTACATCTCTTGAGACAACAACTACGGTGACAGCCACACCTGCCGAGACTACTACACCTGGCTCAACTACATCTCTTGAGACAACATCTACGGTGACAGCCACTCCTGCCGAGACTACTACACCTGGCTCAACTACATGTTTTGAGACAACATCTACGGTGACAGCCACTCCTGCCGAGACTACTACACCTGGCTCAACTACATGTTTTGAGACAACATCTACGGCGACAGCCACTCCTGCCGAGACTACTACACCTGGCTCAACTACATGTTTTGAGACAACATCTACGGTGACAGCCACTCCTGCCGAGACTACTACACCTGGCTCAACTACATGTTTTGAGACAACATCTACGGCGACAGCCACACCTGCCGAGACTACTACACCTGGCTCAACTACATGTTTTGAGACAACAACTACGGCGACAGCCACACCTGCCGAGACTACTACACCTGGCTCAACTACAACATCTCTTGATTCTACAGTATTTTCAAGGACTATCACTTAAACAAAGGCTGCTACAATAACATAACCATTTAGTCCTGTACATTATGAAACCATATATATTGAATATGACAATAAACGTGATGTTTCGCAATACTTACAACCTTAATTTACCCATATTAAAGTTGTTGAATAAGTGTCATACCTTTCTTTTGTTTGGGTAATATTTATTGTCACACAAAAAGCATGCGTTAAACTGGCATAACTGATATGACACTGCCTTTGGAAACTTACTCATATAGGTTCAGATGATGTACATCAAATAATGCTGTGAACAAATTGCAAGAGATTCGTGATCATTGTCATTGGTGCAGGTAAGCTAAAGGAGAAGATGTGAGCATTGCAATGTTTCTGCTTGCAGCTCCGGATTTCAATACACCAGTCACAATAGTTACTGAACTTGTCCGTAAAGGTGATCTTGCAACGGAATTGGAGTTCCACTGTCAGTTCATCAAACATCCTTACGACGTCTTCTACACCACCAACTGGTTTGTTGATGGCGACCTTGTGGCGGCTACAAACCCTGAGCAATGGGACGACGGAAATGTTACCCAGATGCACGCCTTGACAGAGGATGACCTTAGGGCAAACAACATAACCACTGTTGGATTCGAGGTAAAAACTACTAAAAAACACAAAGTTGACACAATTTATGGATAACAATTTCTATTATATGCTACTTTTCGATATAGATCCTTGTAAATCTTGCTCAACAGCGGTACACGTATCTATATCCACACGTCCTGTAATATCATGTAAAAGAAGATGTTATCCATTAATTGTGTCGACCTTGTCATCCATCGATCAGCAATGGCCATTAGACAATTTAATAAAAACTACTTTATTAAAATTGTGTATGTTAAATGTTCTTTGTATATATGATTGTCCTTTTGTACTGATCTAAGATGCACAAAATATGGGATATCTTGCGATTAATAGTTTTTTCCAAACCATATTTGAAAAGTATTGTTTCCCTTAAATGTTCTTAATAAGAGTGAGTGAGTGAGTGAGTTGGGTTTAACGTCGCTTTTAACAGTATGAACAGTATTCCAGTTATATGTCGGTGTGTCATCTCCATATGGGAGGAAACCCCGATATGATACCACTTCGGTGAAACACACAGGAACGCGTATAGTGCTGACAAACCTAAAAACATGATCTTGACAAGAACATAACTGTATACATAAAACGCATATTCATGTATCATTATATTTCATATTTCAAAGATACGTTGCTCCGTGAGAGTGAGTAAATGCTTAAATACAACGGCTGGCGCTCCTGTACAGTCTGAAGCGAAGTTTATCGGTATTAAGGTAGGTTGTTCATTCTCTTGAATAACGTTTTTGTTTATTTGTAAGAAGTTTTACGCATTCCTAAAATGCTTGACACACCAGTAATATTCATATAAGTGTTTCCTTGACCTCAGTGTTTCTGTGTTTGACTGGAAACATGGTAGAAGCCTTACAAATTGTCAACTGAAAGTAAGAAAGTGTATTAACCAGTAACTATTTCAGTTAATTTGAAACGAGTTTACATGTTAATAAAAGCCACAAAACCCTTTTCGGTAAATTGCTTTGCGATTGATTAAATATTGTGGAGTAAGAGTTAGTGATAAGAAAAAGAATTGGTGAGAATCAAATCTCTCGCCTTTACCAAGTTTATGTATATTACTTTGTGTGTACTGCAGATATTTCCTGAATATTCATATACGCGGGTATACATAACTTAAGGTATCACTTTTTCATATATGTAATTTTGGTAGTTTTAATGACGAGACAAAACAGTTATATATAACTAATATTGTAAGGCTCCTAAATACACTAGAATGTCTAAGTAACTTATTTACTTCTTTGTCATGATTAAAACTTAACCTCACATTTTAAGACCATGTAAATCATGTGAGTTTTCGCGTGACGTGTTATCCGTGGCCTGACCTTCAGTCATCCCTGTGTATGTCCTTCATCTGTTCATAATTTTTGATGTCTCCAAAACAGCAGAAAGTAGGATTCTGAAATTTTAGGACGTCTAACATCATACTATGATAGCGATTAGGTCATGTCATTAAAAGACAAGAGTTGGGGTGGTTTAGGACTTCGTTCATGGCTTTCAGAGGACACATTTATTTTCATTTTGGTTTAAATAACAACTATTATCAATTGTGGAAAGAAGTAAGATAAGCGAACAAAGGTCAGAAATAAATATCGCATTAATTTACCAAATTTGGTTCATTATACGTGAATGTTTCATCCAGATGCCACAGTTCTCTTACATCAAACAAATCACATCACAACCATTAGCAAGAACCGTGTGTATGGGCAGTAGAATTCACTACATGTTGCAGTCATCTCACGTTTAAACTACTTTTTAGCAAAGCAGGTATTCATGATGGTTGGTATCTCCATGTTGGTATGTTTTTGATTGCGTCTTACTTCTCATTACCAACAGCTGTCAAGTACCTCATTAATCTTGAAGGAAGGGGAATCGGCGGACATTTCTCTTCAGCTCACTGCCCCGTTTGGCTGCCAGAAATTCCTAATGGATATCAATCAGTGTGAATTACACGTCGAAACATATTCCATCAGTCAGTATTTTATACCTGCTAATGTGATACATTAGCACCAATTGAATTAATTTGAAATAAGAGATTTTCTATTTCTCAAATTTAAATGCCAAATAGGAAGGTATATTGTTATTTAAGATATATGCTCATAATTCATATTTCGTACAGTGTGAATCAGCAAGAAGCTTAATATAATGCTTCATCGCCAATCACTTTGAAGTCAATAGTTCTTTTAAATGTAACAACACATCTTCATTTGTTTAGAGAATTTATGGTAAAGGTACCTGACATTTCTTGAAATGTTTTGTTTTTGTCTTCACCGATTTTCAGTGATCCATTCACTTATTTCGCCGCTACTGTGCCTTTTACGCCTAAGGGAATCTGTTTCGTCGAATAGTCAAGACTGATTATTCTCTGGCGATGAAGTTTTACATTTACTTTGTAGAAAAGGATCCAACCACTACCAATCCATGTGATAATGCTGTCCTTACACGTTCGACATGTGGAGTGACCATTCCATTTTCTCGATGGAATGAAACACACACGATCAAGGTCTTTGGGAGTATATCTGTGCGATATGGCTTATCAACCCAGAACTTTAAACTGGCATTGGGAACGGGGGATGTGATTCCACATGAACTATGGTCGAACTACAATACAGGACAAATAACGGTAAATGTGACATATAGTTATTAACGCACCATGGAGTATCATGGAATAATCACACAGCGAGATTGGTTCAAACGCAATACAAAGGTCAATGGTATAATCACTAGGGTTCGAATTGCACATTATATGGAAAGTGACTACACATCAGTAGTCATCAATATCTCAATAATCTATTTACAAATGACAGTATCCTGCAAACCCAAATTTCATTTGATTAAATGTGTTATGTTTCAATTTATCAACCTGTTCTCGGTATATATCTTATATGAAGGGTATGCATACAATGTATATGTGAACTGTATGATAATTGTTGTATATATTTTTATAAATACATATGTACGATCAATTATTCTGATCACAGGTACAAATAATAAAGGATACCTCGGATGTGGAGGGCAAATCTTGTTTTGCTGTAAATGACCCCCACATGAAGACATTTGATGGCAGGTAAATATATTATTGCTTAATGGCGTCCTAAGTGTCAATACGTTGAAATTTTGTTAGCAGGTATGGATTCTATAAAGCTGATACATATCACACCTATAAACAGAACATCCCCATACTCTATTTTTTGGTTAAAGTATATAATCAAAATAGATCTTTATAGATGTTGTCAACTTAACGGTTATATTGACAAGAATGTTATAACTAAATAACACATCTGTGCGACTGTTATTCAGGGATATAGAAGAGTCGATTGGTCACAAGATAAGGCAAAATCCTCCGATGCATTGAAAACGTATAACATGGTTTGAAATACAATACAATGTGTTTTGATAACAAGGGGTAAGACGGTTACCTGTGACAGAACAACTCTAACTTCACATTGGATTCACAATAGCAAATATTCTCAAAAATGTGGCCTTCTAAGTTATATCTCGTAACTTTTCATTTCTTGTTTGAACAATATTACACCAGCGTCAATAGGACATTTCACTTACACAACTGTACATTCTATGCTTAACAGGTCCAAGAGTTTCTGCCAAAATATCTTAAAATTATGACTCTTCTTGTAAAGATTAAACCAATCTGCTAGAAAACAAATATATTCTTATTCTTTTCAAACTACTTTCAAGATACTTTTGGTTGATTTTAATAGCCTTTTCCCATCGGTTTGGTCACCATTAAGACTGTCACCATGAGAGAAACTATTTAACTATCCATTATTAGATATTAAAGACTTGTCCATGGAGCGTTGTGAGTTGCCTCCCCTGAGCATCATTATTAATTATTGGACATAACTGCAATAAATCAGTGTGCAGTTTATCTCAAGAAAATATAAGATCGTACACCCCAATGATTGAAATCGACGATTCTCTTACACTTGCTTAATCGTCACTCTCAACTCTCAAGTCATCAAGCAATATGACATCATGTACACCATCACCCCATTAATGAACAGACAAGGAAATACGTTCCTATGGTCTTGCCAAATTTTATGTTTATCTCATTACGTATCTGTAGGAAACATTAATGATGTGAATTATAGACACGTTAACACATTGTTACTGTACAATCCGTCTTTGAAGTATTAAGTACTGACATATATTTTTCAGGAGGTACGAACATCAATACAATGGCACATTTACAATGTATACTTATACCGAACGTCCTATTGAGGTAAGATATCAATCAAGTTTACTTTTATGTTTCAACCATAACAGTCACACATTTATGCTTGCACTATATGTAAATGGTATAGCAAAGCATATATTCATGTACCAGGTTCAACTCAGGACCTTCAAATGTGGATCGCGAGCTTGGTGTAACTGTGGTGTTGCTGTACGAGCAGGCAGGACAGTGTTTGAGTTCAACAGGTGCCCTGATGTGACCGACATCTGGAGCATTGAGTACACACTGTGTGAAGATGGTGGAGACGTGCTGCAGGTTAAGAGAAGGGAAAGCAGCTATCAGGTATTGTTCTTCCTAATATGTGTTTTTGGTGTGAGTGAGTGAATGGAGTTTCACACCATATTTAACAACAGCCATTGGTTACGTTTTTTGATCACGTGCGGATGTCAATATTTTACAGTCGTTGGGGTAATCAATCTCTTGATAATTAGATCATACTGTCCACACAAGATTTTCTATGATTATCATCTACGCCCGAAAGTAAATATCACTTGTCTCACACGAATCCTAACTTACAATCTATGATACCAAGACCTAGTGTATCTGTATAGTATAGGTCTTTGAAAGGCATTTGGAACTGAAACACATGAGGATTTATTTATGGATGTCAACTTCATTCACCTGATCAAGGAGTAAGCATGTACTCCGAAACGTTCTGTTCCTCATAATAAAGATGTTGACTTCCATAAATTCTCTTTCTTTTGCATAATATAGGTATAGTGGATATTGTTTTTTAAGAAAGGGAAGGTATGTGAGGAAAGGAGAGGTATTTGCGCTTGGCCTATGACAGTGCAGGATAAAATGTCGCATTATGTGCAAAACATCTTACTGCAAAGAGAAGCAGTATGTCGAATGTTCACAAAACATGAGTGTCAGTGTCTCATTGTCCTCAGTACTTGCTTATCTTAGAATTAAAAACGTCAACGACAGAGAATAATTAGTCTCGTGTTTCTGGCGAAACAGCGAGAGAAGTTTTATGAAATGATCACTGAAAATCAGTTATGACACCAAGTGTTCGCGAAAAGAGTAAGCATATCCTGTTCTACGTAAATGCTCCCCATTCACCATACGGCGGCGGCCTAAAAACAATCGAGTCTTGACAAAAGAATTGAGGGATCTGTCGCATGAGCAATGATCCATGTTGTTGGGATACGACGCCATGCTTTACAATCAAAAATATTTCCATGACCACAATCAGACATGTCCACTACAAACATAGTAGAAAAACATTTCATCACTAATTCGTCTTCCGTGACCTTTGGAATCGGAACTAATTTGTCTCTGGCTATGACGTTTTGAATTCCCTTAACACAAGGTTCTGAAGTGAAACCAGTGAGTATGCGTCCAACTTTGGGACGCTAGAGGCACAGACAAAGTCGTAGTTATTGGACAAAATTAGGGACCACAGATGTAAAAACGTAAATAATGGTATAGTTAGCTATTATATAACATAGTGAGACAGGTTTACGGTTGGAAGATTTGGGGCATTTTGTATATGGTGAGGATATGGATGCTTCTGTTTTTCTAGTTTGTTATCATACTTACCATGGATGATGTTAAAGTCTACAGATGTTTATTTAATGCTGACACTTTGCATATTTGAAAACAAACATTACTGACGTAAGCCCAAATAACTATTTATTCTGTTGCCAAATGACGTGTAAAAACAGATTATCGCGTTCTAATTTGCTCTTTAACTGACGATATGAGATATGAAAAGAGCCAATTCTCAAATGGGTGGTTTACTTGTAAAATGTTACCCTATGGTATCATCCATAGTCTTCTCACATGTAAATTAAGTTCGAGGCTTTGATCACAACAAACGATCTCTTGGACATTTCGGATACATAATTATGTGTTTTCATGAGCGGTATATTTATGAACACTAGGTATTTGTACTATAGTAATATACGACCACCAGCCCCTGGCGGTTAACAAAGATGTTGGTGATTGCATGGTTGTATTTAGCCATGGAAACATAAAGTACACTCTCGACATACACTGAAAGTCTGGTATTTCTTTTACATTTTACACAGTTTGCTACTATACACAAAACAGAAAGCTGTGAACTTGCATCAGATTTATATTATCGCAGTAGAATGTTTGGTAATACCCATTTGACTTGGACAGTGAAATTGAGATCAAAATACATCAAATACAAATGTTGTGACTTGAAGGTATACCTGCCAACAGGAGGGAAAGTGGATATAAACTTTTACCGGAAAAGCCGGTACCTCAATGTCTACATCTACCCATCTGTGCAAGATGTTGGGAAGAGTAGAGGCCTCTGCGGTAATCTGTCCGATGTCTGCAACGACGACTTTGTAATGAGAGATGGCAGCTACTCCACTGACAAAACTTCTACCGATGCCTGCAATGCTGGGTATAGGGTCTGGGAGAACCTACTCACGACATTCTCCAACTCTTGGAGGTGAGAGATACAAAAATAGAACTTTGACATACGCTACCCTTCACTCGTATTTACTCGAGTGATCACCTGTCCACTTGAATTTGCAATATGTGCCTTAAACATTACAAATTTGGCAGAGATGTCCCAATTTTCCAATAGTAAACTTCATGTTGAGCAATATTTCAGAAGCTCTAGCCTTTGGTGTTTACATTTCACGAATTGTGAGATAGAATCGAGCATGCTCTTTCTACCAAGGGTTCAAAGAGCGTCATACGACTCTTGCTGAGAAGTGGTTGGGGGGGGGGGGGGGGGGTTGCTCGTGGGTCATACCTAGCCCACGGCCTACGTCGCACAGATGTTTCTGTGTGCAAGATACGACGAATAAGTTGGTTAGTGTGATCCTATGTTGTTGCAGGAAGGCGGTAGGGACTCTAGCTCTGTGAGGTCTGGCAGTTTCGTTCTGCAAGATGGATCGTGATCCAATGATGCTCTGATCTGGAATTTCCTCCCCCTATCTTTCATGATGTATTATACATTTCAAGACGACATTCAGTTTTTCTGCAACCGTGCTCTATAAAATCTTAATTAAGAAATCTTAGTGACTTTTATCCAAGCTCGTCTGAACATGAAAATAGCAACTTTAGGTTGAAATCGCCACATTAAGCTATCAAACTATTCCTCTTTTTTATCTTTACTCAAACAAGGTCAAGCAAATTTTGTTTAAACCAACTACAGTTGAGTGAATAGTTGAGTGAGTGAGTGCCACCTTTTGCAATATTCCAATAGCATCACAGATATGGACTTCTTTCAATAATATAGATATTACTTATAATGATACAGTAATGTAGATCCGTGCCTGAAGAAAATCACTGCAGACATAAATCGCCACAAATGGTAAACATGTAGAGTAGCACATGTGTGCATGCAGTAAAGTTTATAAATTTTGGTTATTTTAGAAAATACCAATGTTTCAGGGTTGAGGATCATGATGATCTGTTCAATAGAGATACACACGCAAGGTTGGACCCTTGGAAGAAGACCGATACATTTTGTTCCTGCACAAAGGACCCCACAAGTGGAACACTTGTGAGAGAAGTAAACTGTACTGCTCTTGCAGCTGTAAATATTTGCAGTACCCTAAATGGTTATAAAGGTGTAATCCCATCAAAGTGTACAATCAAGGAGAGACGCAAGAGGAGATCTATACAATTGACTTCTAATTGGAAGGAATCCCACAGACAAAAAAGGGTATGTGTCAAGGTGTTCATCAGATGATCTGTATTATGTACTTCATGGGGAGTTATAGATACGACATTCAGTTTAATTTAGGTATCGTGTCATAAATGTACTATATGTATGAGAAAATGTATCATATGGCATGGTTTTGCGTCATTTAAAAATGGCGGACGAATACAAATATCTGTTTTCATGAAAACAAGTAAATTATACATATATTCTGTTGTCCAATGACTCCAATCGCATTATGTTCTGTGGTTTCTAAGCTACATACTTGAGCGAAATATGCATTGCAATTTTAAGAAAATCAGTTTATGACCTGGGCCATACAAGATTCATGATTTTCAACCCCAGTCAAAAGTAGACCAGTTAAATTCATGTCACATATACGTCCAAAGCTAATAATATCAACACCTTATAAGATAGTGCAGTAACAGTTTTAGTACAATCATTTTTAATTAGAACTGATCTTGTTAATTCCTATATCATGCATACAATTGAACATAAACGTCAAATTCCATTTCATACCCGATGACAGTGTAAACCTTTCTCCACTTTTCATTTGTCAGACCCTAGCTTGCAAAAACTTCTGTCGTATCCTTCTATTACCATACATACTTTACAAACAGGTTTATCCTGCGAGTATTCTTAGGGATGGTAAATATCCTGTATTGTGAATAAACATTGTATTTAGAGAGCCTTTGCGAGCGAAATACAAAGTGTTTATTCCTAAAACAGAGTATTTACCACCCCTAAACACACAAGCGTGATAACTTCTTTATCATATAATGCCATTCTTCAAGCCTTACCATCTCTCACAAACATTACCTAAACACTGAAGTTTTCTTGGAATATGCGCATTAATATATATTACGTTAGCAGGTAAGGGGTGTGTCTGTCGGACAGTTAATATAGTTCCATCTGAAACATGTTTCTTATACAGTGGCGTAACTACATATTTACAAAATAGCAATTGCCTCCACAAATTGTTTGTACTTGCAATCCATCGGTCTGTCCGCTAGAGTAACTGCCTTTTATCCAAGGGAAACTACACTAACCCTTGTCTATGAGACGTCACGTTTGTTGACAGAGTCTGCCTGTCCTGTTATAATGTTACGAAGTGCAGTCAGATGTACACACAGCGACAAAACGAAACAAGGAATCAATTCTGACATATTTCGGCCAAATCCAACCGTTTTAATTTGTGGAAAAGGTCTACGTACACATGTATGGAAACTTATCCCGCTTTGGTAGTGTTCTTACAAAATTATTACGTCATTTATATCTTCAAAGTGCCAAATTGCATACGCTACGTCACAGTTAGACCCTGATTTTCAGTATATTAGACTATTCTTTTGATAATGATAGTAATTATCCAAGTACGACGCCATGTTTGTTACTGAAAGTAGTCCCTACTTGACCTTTGATATGTGCATATGACCCCAACGGATATCGTTTTATTCCGTTGGCTTTATTCTACCAGGAAACCTATCTATCATTAGATAATGTGGAAACGTGACATAAATATGTTGTTTTTTATTCTGCATCTATCAAAATTCAATATTTGAAGTATGCTTTCTGCACAGCAAACTGAAGGAGAGTGGCAAGATGGATGGACAGAGGACCAAGCCAGGGCCTATTGTGACAAAGTATTTCATGACTCCAGGTCCGTGCAGGTCTGCAGTAACGTGACTGGAGTTGACACCCATGGAAGCATAGACAACTGTGTACTGGATATACGGGTATATTTCTGTCACCCTTGTATGTCTGCTTATCGACGGTCATAAAGCATGTGACTTTAGGAGTCATGTGGCGTTAAGAGTGTCTTGACGGAGCAGTAGCGTTACTGTGAAATAGACGTTATGTTAAATTATAATGATTCCTGCACGCGTCATTGTCCATTGTGGCTAAAGGGGGGTGCTGTGAATGCATGAAACATGACAATGAAAGAATACTTTCAGTTCGACTCAATACACTTATCTAATACTACTCGAATCTCCCTATATTTTTTTAATTTACACATATTTATTCACAAGGAGTGAACGGGATTTGGGGGACAGATTCTTCAAACTTAGATTGCCTTCTCCAAGGTATTCACAAAATTTCACAATTTCAAATTCAATAAGTTTGAAGGGGAGAAATGCATTGTTGGATAAACAGTTCTTTACACAAATCTTTTAGTTGTATATATAAAAGTTGTACTGCCTTAAATATAGCTTCATTTTCTGTAACAACGTGATCTGCATCGCCATATAACAGTAAGTGTACATCAACAGATATGTTATGAACAATATTTTAAGATTATGATGTGCATTTTCACATGTATTTGAACATCTACAGTTCGGGTGATTTTTTTATACCATTTCGATATAAATCATAAGTCAATTGACTGCACATGTATCTCAGTTTTGTGTGTCAGATACTATATTTTCTTTTTCCATATGCGAAGTACGCAGGTGCTGTTGGGTGGTGCTTTGTGAACAAAATTTAAAACAAGAAATCGTAGAATTTTGATACTGTAACAGAATAGAGTTCTACAATTGGATAGACGATGGGCAAAATGATTTACACGAATGTCTTAGTCTTGTGAGAGGAACACTGATGTTTTCAGAGTTTCTGAGACTGTATGAGTTTTTTTTGCAGCAATGGTGTTTGGTAGAATGTCTGTTTGATAGGTAGGGGCCATATTATGATTAATTTTGAGGAAAAGAAAAAGTTTACGTTTCTTTCTACGCTCAACTAAGGGTTCCAAACCGGTTTCGTAATATTATGAATGCCTGGGGGCATATTTAGGTAGACCAGTTACAATGCGTGCAGCTTCTAATTGTAATTGTTCTAATTTCTCACTCTGTCCTTCGGTGCAACCATCCCATACCTCACATGCGTATTCAAAGTGTTCTCTTATGAACATTTTATATATACTCAACAACAGTTCATGTGACACTGAATAAGATTTTATGCAAAGTTATGTTTTTTACCAAATGCAACAGATAAAAGACTCCTGTAAGTGTTCAAATGGTTTAATTTGCCATACTGACTCCAGTAAATGCGTGATTTCATTAAAAAAAAACATGAACATGCCAAAATGTCAATTTACAATCGATCAATAGCGTGTGTGTCCACCTCGTCGTCTCATGGAATGGACCAGGCGCCGCACAAAGTCCTGTGGGATATCTGTCTATATCTGCTGGAGCATGTTTCGAAGTTCCTGGAGTGTCTGTTGAACACGTGGTTGATGTCGAAGGCGCCGATCCATCTCATCCCACATGTGCTCGATTGGTGAGAGATCAGGGGAACGAGCAGGCAAGGGGATGACATTCACGTTGTTTCGTTGAAGAGAATCCTGAACAAGTCGAGTAATATGAGGCCGGGTGTTGTCATGTTGAAAGGTAATGCCTGGGCCATGACAACGCAAAAACGGTAGAATAACAGGGCCGATGATCTTGTCGCGGTAGCGCTGTCCATTGAGATTTCCCTCTACCACTATAGGGTCCTCTGTCTTGCTGTAATCCCACCCCACACCATAAGGCTGCCGCCCCCGAACCGATCTTCTTCCATGACACAATGATTGACGTAACGTTCACCTCGACGTCGATACACTCGAATCCGTCCATCGCTGTGGCTGAGGAGAAAACGAGACTCGTCAGTGAACAGAACTTGGCCCCACTTGTGGCCGTCCAGCGTAGACGCTGTCTGCACCACTGTAGACGTGCTTGACGGTTGTTTCCTGTCAAAATGGGACATCTGGCGGATCTTCAATCCCTGCACATCTGAGGCGACGACGTACGGTTTGTGAAGATATTCGTCGAAGGCCAGGGATGCTTCTTGCAGTCACTGTTGCTCACTTGAATCGATTTCGTAGGTGTGTTGTTCGAATCCAGTTGTCTTGTTGATTACTGGTTACGCGTGGCCTCCCACTCCGAGGATGGTCTCTGACTGCATTCGTCTGTTGCCAACGTTGCCATAAACACCAAATGGTGTTTCTGTTCGACGTTAAATTGTCTTGCAACATCACGTTGACTCGATCCTGCTTCAAGCATACCAATGGCTCGAAGACGCTCTTTTTCGGACAGGCGTGGCATTTTGTAATGTTGAATAATTGCGTAATTTTTTTTTTCGGAGTGGTTGCTAAACAATGAATATGGAATCCCGTTAACGCACATGTTTTAATACCCATTCTTGGGTAGTGAAATGCATGGGGCTTGCATAAAAGACAACTTTTGCATTGAATGCATGTTTTTCTGTAGCAGTTGCGTTTTTTGTGACTTGATTCCATACATGTACTACAATATTGAAAACCAAACTTTACTTGTTTGAAAAATACACTAAAATATTAGTGTCACCGGAACTTGTGTTGTTGAGTATAATATTGTTAATAGTATTTCTATATTTTCTTTCTTGCCACTGGCTTCAAGTATAACACCCAAGTGCTTATAACTATTTAGTGAGCTGATTTCTTTTCCACCTCCAATGTTGTCTTTGCTAGAGAATAGAACAGATTTAGTATTTTCGGGATTGTCAGTCATCAGCCAAAGTTTCGCCCATTCACTTAATATTGCTAAATTTGTGCTTAAGGAACGTTCCAGTACACTGTTATCATTGGATGACATGCCAATCGATGAATCTTCGGCAAACAGTCTTGTCATACAGTCTAATTTATCAGCAATGTCATTTACATAAACAATAAAGAGTAAAGGACCAAGCACGGCCCCTTGTGGCACGCCAGCCTTCATGTATCATGGTTTGGATATTTCCCCATTCACAATGACGCTTTGGCTACGAATACTTATGTAACCCATTTTAACAATAAACCTTTTATACCATACCTCTCTAATTCATACACAAGCCCACTGTGTCATACACGATCAAAGGTTTTGGGATACATCACAGACTACAATACAATAGTTTTCTTTGTTATCTAACGCTGTACAAATTTTAATGATAAAGTTCTGTTAATTGATTGACAGTTGAGTGTCCAACCTGAAACTCAAATTGGTACTTATACAACAATTTGTTCTCATGAAAGTAATTATATAAATGTTTGAACACCACTCTCTAATACAATCACTCTATAATTGGAAACGATAGTGTGATGACCTTTCTTAAATAATGGCATAACGTTTGCTGTTTTCCACACTGATGGAAATATACGTGATTGTAGTGACATATTGAACAGTAAATACAATGCTCCGCTAATATAATATACAGTTTTCTGTAATAATTTATGACAATTTTTGTCCGGTCCGGAGGCTTTGTTCAGAGGCAAACATTGTATTATGTCTGCAATTTCTTTTTTAGATATGACTATGTTGTTCATCTCTGTCTCTGTACGAAATGTGAAGTCGGGCATAGTTGTTCTTGTATCATAGACATCAGATATAGATTGAAAATATTGATTCAGTTTCTCTGCCTTTTCAATATCAGTAAAAATTGTCGGCTGTTCGTCCATATCATACTGTTTAAGCGCGTCTATGCTGTTAGCTGAGCCAGAGTTCTTCACAACATAACGTAAATCTTTCCAGGGTTTGTTTTCTACGTGTAATTCTGATAGCAATTCTAAGAGGTTTGAATAAAAATGTGGCATTTCATGTTATTTACTTTGTTCCTCTGATTTTTATAGGCCCGAATGTCGTTTTCCTTATTACTTTTTCTAACCTTCGTTTTTAATCTATCTCTTTTCCTGGATTCTCGCCTAAAACTGAAATCATACCAAGGTTTGTCCTTTGGACGAATGGTTACTATTTTGGTTGGAATGCATATTTTAACATATTTATTCAAGTATTTATAGGACAGACTACATGCTTCATCATCATTTGAAATTTGACTAAATAATTCATTCCAGCAAGTATTTTCAATGAGCGAATTTAGTTTATCATAGTCACTGGTTTTGAAACATGAAAGTTCTCTTATATATGCTAATTTTGTTCGCAAATTAGTGTCTTTTTGAATGTTAATTCCCCTATGGTCGCTAATTTTACTATCAACATCAATTACATCACTGTCGATGACGTTTATATCTTCATTGATAATAACAGGATCCAATAAACTACTGGTATGGTCAGTAATTCTGGTAGGCTCGGTTATGGTATTGTGTAGAATTTTCCAATTTAGTAATTACTTTACGCTTAAGCTCCTACACGATAACGTATTTTCATTTATGTCACCTACAATAGTAATCGTGCACGAAATATCCAGGGCATTTTCAATGCTATCATCTAAGCGACTCCAAACATTCACTGAATTATGTTCCGGTCTGTAGGCAGTGCACAATAAAATTGAGCTTTGAGGTAAGCATATTTGAATCCATATCGATTCGTCTTACATGTTTTCTAATTCATGTCGTCTTTTAAAAGATAACAGTATATTTACATATATCATAACACCACCTCCGAACATATTTCTGTCTTTTCGTACAGGTTCGTAAAAATATTCCAAGCTCAAGTCTTCATTTTTAATACTGTCATCTAGGTGTTTCTCGGTGAAGTCCTAAGTCCTCGTTTATATAGACTGAACTTCTATTTTGTCTCAGCATTCTTCTGTTAGAAATTATTTTGTTCCTGTTTCTATTGCTGACGAATTTTACGATGACCTGTCTGTTCCTATCCATGTTTTTCTTACCGACTCGGTGGCATCTGTCGATGTCCGATGCTGTAAGGTCAGGGTGTAGTTATCTAAGGACCTCCATCACTAATGCCTCCCTGTTTTCATCCTTGGACTCAGGTAAACTAATTCGTAGAGAGTTTCTTCTACTGTACTGCTCAAGATCATCAGTTTTCATCTCAAGTTCATGTCCAAGATCAATGACTTCTTGCTTTAGCGGTTGTACACTATCTCTGGCTAGGCCTTCGATAAGATCCTTTGCTACACTCTCAAATAACTTGGCATCCTTCTGATTAGCCGACACGTTCATAGAAAAACTGTCCTGTGAGAGATTTTGATTTGATCACAGTGTTGTTTCTCACTTACCGGTTCAATGTCCGGGTTTTCAGCTGTATGTTGTATCTAACTAACCGAAGGTGTTCAAATGAATTTGGCTGTCAAATAATAAATTAGAGACTGACAGTTATTTTTAAAAAAAATATACTAATATTAATAGTTATGACATTTAATCTATTGACTGTCAGTCTCCCTTTGTTTCACATATGCCTGACTGAACGTTTTCTTTCCAGCATAAGTTGTTGTTCTATTGGTAACTATCATGTCATCTTCTTTGAATAAAATTCATTTGGTATTTTACTTTTGCTTCAAGCTTACTGGAACCACAGAGTTTTCTCCATATGCTGTTGATACGGTGAGAGACAAGTGTCTGCATGAGGTTGTAGTCAATCCTGTACTCCAGGAGAAGAATGAGACTTCAGCTACCAACCAGTCTGTCCATGATATCGTTGTGGCAGAGGCGTGTTTGAACGACTGTGGTGGAAATGGCTACTGTATTGAAGGTAAAAATACCGTGTGTGCCTCATGAAGCATCCTCGCGTTAATGGGCAATCTTTAAGATTTGTTTGGACAAATTTTCAAACACCATCGCTAAACGTTTTGAAACAAATCCAAGCCTCGACATCTAAGTAATTGCTTGTGTATTTTAACTGATACATTTAACATGATCAATACATTATGAATCACTGTCAAATAATGGTGATGGCAGGTGTTCGCGAATTCCTATTTTTCAGTGATACTTGATACATATAATATGATACCTCATGAAGTGTTTACTGTAGACAGATGAAATTTAGTACATATCGTCCTTAGAGTGGGGCATGGGAGTGGTATGGTTTGAATGACCTTCAAGGACGGGTCATCGCAACCGGGTTGGTTCTTCGTTTGTTATTCATCTTTGTTTACTGAGCAAACACTCTGTGCTTGTATGGCGTGTACATTAATGTTTTCAAGTAGAAATAATCAAACGTGTAAGAAAGGTCTAAGTACACTTCTTTTTCAGGTAGCCAGGGGCATGCCATTTTCTGTTTAAATTTGCCTTGCATTAAACAGTTGTCTCAAAAACCGGAAAACTATCATGCAACCAAAAGTGCATATTTCTTGATTATTTAGGTAATTGGAGGCATTGGACTTTCATTAAAGAGGCTATTTGCAAGTGATATCATTCAATAGGAAGCGCATGTACCCTTTCTTATCAGGTTATCTGGAGACATTTGGATTGCTGGTTATAATTGCACCGCAGAGGTGAGAAAGTTATATAGAGGCTATTTATAGTATATACAATATATTTAGAGGCTTGATTTATCTGTAAACTTCCGGAATAGCATGGATGGGTGTCAAGCTTTTAGAAACATATGGAATATCCTCTGATGTTCTAGGCACACTGGACTAGTCCAGCACTGTGTGAAAAGTGCTGAAAGAAAATAAGTTTATATAAGTGGAGCAGGCGCGTGCCAATCTCATCTCTTAGGTTATCTCACATTTCATCTGACATTACATCAAGGTCAGCTTTTGTGGGGCTTTGTTTGGTATTTCATGGATATTCTCATAAATGTTCAAGGCGATGATATGTACCTTTTCACCTAATGCAGATTGCCACTTTCGGATGCATTAGTTTCTTCATGGCATTTTTCTGTGTTGCCCAGCTACACCTATGGGAAACAACTCACGAGACACTTCCCTCTAAAAATAACGTCGTCCAATCGACGATGTCAACAAGATGCGAGCGCTGTTTTATCGTGAAATAAACCATACTTCGTTCTTCATTGTTCTTTGCGATTTATCACGTAGCTCTATTATATATACATGTAAAATGCAGTTATTTTTTATGTGTCATTCAATCCCTCATTGTAGGTGACTGTGTTTGTGCCAAAGACTATGGTGGTGGTGACTGTTCTGTTGATCTCACGGCTGCTCCAGAAATACACAGCGTAGACGATGATGGCCACTGTGACATGTCACGTCACGATTGCCAAGGAATTTCAATTTATGGAGAGACATTCATTGATAACCTAACGTCATGTCACGTGGAGGCTTTTAGGGTAAATATGACATTTTGACTAAGTAAAATCCCAATAATTAAAACGTTAAATACCCAATGATGATATGAACACTGTCATGATTACGGTCATGATCACAGGTCACTCTATATGCTCCATAGGTATACAACACCAGCAGTGAAAGGAAATGGTCAAGAACTTCACTGGGGTCAGTTGTCAGCATCAGCCAGGTGGACTGTGATATTTCACCTCAGAGTGTCATTGATAATGGAAATGCAGCCGAGAATGCAGCCTTCATTTGGGCCTACACAATTTCAGTTTCTAACAACCCGACCAACTTCAGCGCCAGCGTTGGAGTGATACTGTATGACAGCACCTGCGTCATTGGCACAGTGAATGGGACAGATTTCAGTTGGACACTTGAGGTACTGAACATCATAGATTCTGAAGTAATCGTAATAATAGAATGGAAGAGACATTCTAGTATACTTCTTTTTAACATTACGATATTTCATTTGAGAAAGTGCATGCTCAAAGTCAACTGATGTTCCCTTGTTATTTGGCAAAGGTGATTGTACTCAGGCACACTCATACGTGAGTGCTAATATCAGGGACTAGTGAAGATCCGGGGTAGAATAGGCCTTCAGCAACCCATGCGTGCCGTAAAAGGTGACTCTACATGTCGTAAGAGGCGATTGATGGGATCGGGTGGTCAGGCTCGCTGACTTGATTGATGCATGTCATCGTATCCCAATTGCGTTGACCTACGCTCATGATGTCAATCACTGGATTGTCTGGTCCAGACTCGATTATTTACGGACCGCCGTCATACAAGTGGAATACAAGTGCGGCGTTAAACAACAAACAAACAAGCAAAGCTAATAGCAGGCATTTAAAGGGCACTAGCAGTTATGCACTTTGTTGCATAGGTCACATTGTACCGTGAGGACATGCATGTCGGACCAATTTTTGACATATGCAACATGTTGGAGTGTGGCAAAGATTTTTGTGAATATGGAAAGTGTTTTGCCGCTTTGTTATGACATATGACCTGCTATATGATCACGCAAGTCATCCTCTGCATGCAGTCAGCCATAACGCGTTGTTGAGTCATGTAATATTTCTACATCGATATGTAAACACACATAGCAACGCGCGTCGGTAACGTTGTTAGTATGCAACGTGTCCACAGTCAATAACAGACCTTTGAAAATTACGTCCATAGAACAAACCTGTAACAAATGTAATGTTTTACATGTTCATCGGGCAGCGTCTCTGGGTTATTATTTTCAAAGTGAAATTTGTAACAGCAGCTGTGCGACTGTGGACGATATTTCAGTTGGTCCATAACGTTTCTTAAACTCAAAATACAAGCGATGAAAGCCTTTCACCATAAATAAAAGGGACATTGTACAATACCGACCATATTATAGACACACGTCCATGAATAACAATCAAATAGTGTAGATATCAGGTGTATCAGGCGAAAGGTGGGCATATCCTGCCCCACCTGTGACATTTGCCAAAAACACCTAGAAAAAAACCATGAGAGCATATTGTACAAGTCGAAATAAGGAATTGCATCAGAGATCATTTTGGTCACTGATGCGTCGAATTTGGAAATGTCCTCCACATGTCAAAGATAAGGCTTTACTGAGGCCTTGAATGTTGTAACCTTATTCAAATAAATTTTGATCCAGTGTTTTATGACACTTTTTCAAATCTTCGTAGAACGTACATGCTCGATGGTACCTCAAAAGTTGTGAAATGTGGACATCAAAGGTTGGATCTGCTGGAATATTGCTCGACTGAAAGTGAATGTTGACTATTTGAAAGTTGAAGTAGTCTCTCCTGACACACAGTCTTGTGTTTTGTCACTATTAATCGGACGCATAGATCTAAATATGTAACAGATGAGGCAGTCTAACTGGACACCTTTTTTTCTTCATCAGTGGAAGGGAATTGTCTATTTGAACGTTATTTATCTGTAGATTTGAAGGCTGACCTTTTGGTCAGAATCTCTTGTTTTGACTTTTGCCAATCCGTGCAGAAATTCCGATTCATATGCACAAAGAAATAGACCCGCAAGAAGGGGAGCACAATTGATGCCAATAGGGATGCCCACGTCTTGTCTGAATGTCTCACCCGCAAACTGCGTATGAGTATGCAGACTTTCACATAGACTTTTCTCAGTAAACATTAAGTTTCATTTTTCACAAATATTGTCCTTTACCGCGGACCTGAGGCAAAATATACACATTCGGAGGACATTTTCGGAAGTTCTACTTCATCATGTCGAGTTTGTTTCTGCAGGGAGCGTACTGTTTGCACGAGGGGAAGTGTGTGGTTAACGGAAGCAGGCACCCCGATGTTCCCTGCAGAGTTCCCTGTGATGTTTCTAATAGCGAGAGACGCTGGATCAACAGTTCAGGTGATTGTCCTTTTTTATGACATTTGATAATGTGTTATCAGGTTCTTGGTGTGACACGTACGGACAAACAATAGATCATTTGTTATTTTTTGTTATTAGATACATAGCTTTAAATTGTTATTGGAATGGCCAGATGAAACTAAAAATTCGTCGTTTCTGTACAATTCTGTCATTTTATAACCAGTGTTTCGTTACCAGTGTATATGTATCAATTAAATATAAGTCATGCTAAAATACATGAAAAGATATGTTTACATGTTCAGCCGTGTCAGGTTCGTCGTGCGTGTGTGTGTACATCATACTGTGTGCTCATGACCCCTTATATATTACAATGGTGAACAGAATTATGAACTGAATACACAAGTCAATACTGCAGGTTTTTACACACTACGTTCAGTCAAGGCTGCTTTCAATAAAACAACAAATACAATTATTAATCAACAGCGTCTGCATGCTCCGACACGACGACGCCCGTTGTGGTAACACAAACCTCCACAGCGTCACCTGCAACCACTACAACAACGAAGGCTTTTACATCTACTATGACTCCCTCTACTGCTGCTTCAGCCCAGTCAAGTGCATCTACCGAGGCAACCACTGATGCATCTTTACCTATCTCGTCTTCTGAAACAACTACTGCTACCACAAGGAGTGAAACATCAACAGCTACTACGTATCACGAAACTACTACAGATGCTTTCTCTGACGAAACAACTCTAGCTGATACGTCCAGGGAGACTTCAACAACTACTACATATCACGATACTACTACAGGAGCATCCTCTGACGAAACAACACCAACTGCTACGTCGAGGGAGACTTCCACAACTACTACATATGACGATACTACTACAGGAGCATCCTCTGACGACACAACACCAACTACTACGTCGAGGGAGACTTCCATAACTACTACACATCCCGATACTACAACAGGAGCATCCTCTGACGACACAACACCAACTGCTACATCGAGGGAGACTTCCATAACTACTACATATGATGATACTACTACAAGTACTTCCTCAAGTAAAAGAACTCCAGCTGCTACGTCCACGGATACTTCCACAACTACTACATATGACGATACTACTACAAGTACTTCCTCAAGTAAAACAACTCTAGCTGCTACGTCGAGGGAGACTTCAACAACTACGACGAAGGACGATACTACTACAGGTAATTAGCGTGGTTGTGATTACGCCAGAGGCCGTTATCATATATTTTCCGTTTCTTCAACACGACGAAAGTCCTTATTATCGGTCCTGTTATTTTGACTTCACTTATACAATTTTGATTGGTTGGTTTGTTGTTTAACGCCGCACTCAGCAATATTCCAGCTATATGACGGCGGTCTGTAAATAATCGAGTCTGGACCAGACAAACCAGTGATTAATTTCATGAGCATCGATCCACGCAATTGGGATCGATGACAGGCATCGGCCAAGTCAGCGAGCCTGACCACTCGATCCCGTAAGTCGCGTTATTCGTCACATTACTGGCAATGTACATGCAGGTTGGATAATGTAATTGTCACACAGGACATATATGTATGCTTGAAGTCATAGGAGATAGATATTATGATTGCTTATCATGGTACCCACCCGTAGAGATCCGGGTTAGAATTGGTTTTTAGCAACACATTCTTGTTATAAGAGGCGACTATGTGTGCCGTAAGAGTCAACAGGATCGGTTGGTTAGGCTCGCTTACTCAGTTGATGCCGGTCATCGTATCCCAATTGCATGGATCGATGTTCATGACATCAATCACTGGATTGCCTGGTCCAGACGCCGTTATTTAGACCGCCGTCAAATAGCAGGAATATTATTGAGTCCGGCGTTAAACAATACACAAACAAACACCATAAAAGCACAATTAGTCCAAATCAACATGGCGATTGATCAATAGTAGATGTTGTACTATTAATTAACCTAAGCTTTTAATTAGTATGCAATATAAGATAGCTACGCGATACATAGCAAAGAACAATGAAGAATGAAGCGTGGTTTATTCCACGACAAAACCTTGTTCTATCATGACGTCATTTCGGAGATTCGAAAATGCGCTCGCAACTTGATGACGTCGTATACTGTCGTAGGTTATGTTTGAGAGGAGAGTGTCAAATGAGTTGTTCTGCAAATATGTAGCTGGGTTACGCATATAAACACAGTGGCCGAATGATCGCATGCCAACGCGTGAGAGATATGACAATCGGTACTGGGAGAAAAGGTACAGGTAATCGACGTGAATATTATGAGGATATGCGGGAATTACCAACCTGTTCATAAAAGGGACGTATCTGACATTTCCAAGGTTGGATTTTATTATTTAAATACGGGTATATATTTTAAAGCTTTTACATTTTATCACCATTCTTACAGAGACTGTACATAATGTGGATATCTCATACATGAAATAAACGACGAGTGGGGAACACTGCAGGAAGAATAAACCACTCGGGGCTGCAGTGTTATCTGTACGATAAACAATTCCCACTCGTTCTTTATTTCTTAATTAAAGGTGGGTTGGTAATATTTAACGAAAACAATGCTTATATTTGCAGCACCAGCATTTAATGAGGAAACCACTGTATCAACGAAACTCGTCCGTAAGGACGTTTTTAAAACGGAGTTGGAGTTCCACTGCGAGTTCAAGAAACACCCCGACGACGTCTACTACAGTACCTACTGGGTTGTTGACGGCGGACAAGTAGATGCTAAAGACCCAGAGCAATGGAATGACGGAAACGTTACCCAGAAACACGCCTTGACAGAGGATGTCCTGAGAGCTGCAGGAATAACTACTGTTGGATTCGAGGTATGCCCTTCTCCATTATACATACAACAGCATGAAGCTACCATTTCATATATTAAAAACATCAAAATAATTACTTAAAAAATCAGACGAGCTTATTACATCTGACAGGGATTTGATGGATACTTGCATGTTTATTTTATAGTGTTCTGTATCACATGTTTACTGTTTCATCTACTTTCAATATTTATTCTACGATGGAGTGATAAATGAAAAAGCTGTGATAAATGAAAAGAAACTAGTTACATTTGCATTATTGTAATTCTTCTTCGATCACAATGAAATATTTAGGCAATGTGCCGCAATAAACACATAATTGCTGTCAGGGACCGAACCCCGTGGTCCTTTGTATGTTAGACCAACATGACCCAGACCACCTGATCCATCCAGTACAACAAGCATTGCTTGGGGCTGATTCTAACGTGGAAACCAACGCATTTAGTTTCCTTTAAGACTATGTGTCATAAAGACAAAGTGTATTGACAAGATCATCAATGTATATAAATGTTCATGCATGTATATGCATACTTACATTGTAACTTGTATTTCAAAGATACGCTGTTTCATCATTGTACGTCGTGGCGTTAATACTCTGGCCAGCGTTCCCGTCTTTTCTGAACCCAAGTTCATAGGTATAAAGGTAGGTTACCGATTCACTGGAAAAACATTTTGCTGTAATTGCTAGTATTTTCCTACATTCATAATTTATATGGATGATTAAATGTTAATTTTGTTTGTTTGTTTGTTGTTTAACGCCGCACTCAGCAATATTCCAGCTATATGACGGCGTTCTGTAAATAATCTAGTCTAGACCAGACAATCCGGATACATTAATAAATCTTATTGTCTTATTTTGATTGATTTTGTAGTGAACTATTGGTTTGGATGCATGATAGGTGCTATCTCCGTATTAGAATATTTGTGATTCCATCTTACTTCTCATAACCAACAGCTGTCAAGCACCACATTGTTCCTGAAGGAAGGGGAATCGGCGGACATTTCTCTTCAGTTCACTGCCCCGTTTGGCTGCCAGACATCTGTTATTGACCAGTGTGAAATATTCATCAATGCATATACTCTTGGTCAGTACTTTAGACCTCAGTCCTTTTGAATTGCTTAATAGTTGGGTTATTTTTTAAATAAATAAATAGAAATACACGATTTGCAGAGATGTCTCATAAATATGGAAAGGACTGTGTCACTTTTTCGCCTATTTGTGCAAATTGAACTGAAATGGCTTCAAGGTCGCGTTCAATATTATTGCACTTACACAGCGACGTGTATGTGTGTGAATGCATGTACAAGTCCGAACAAATGCTGGTTTTATCATGCTCGATATTAAGATGTCATGCCACAATTTGACATGAATAACCCACATAAGCATGGTATACTGACTCCGAGCCGACCAGTCCTTTTAACAGTATTCCAGTCATATCGCGGCGTTGTGCAAATTAAAGTGAAAAGGGCTTCAATGTCGACTCCGAGCCGACCAGTCCTTGTTTTACCCCCTTAATGCCACGTGAAAGACAGGGTAACAAGTACCATCTTTTAACGTATTTTGATCTGACGCGGCCGGGAATCGAACCACCGACCTTCCCATCTCCGGGCAGACGCTGTACACAATAGACCACGGAGGTCCTTAATTGAATGTTATCATATCATTCCTTTTGAATAGTTCTATAAAAACTGACAAAGTCCATTAGTTCAGAATATGTGTAAAGGTACAGCATCAACTGGTTTGTTTTACTTTGTAGAAGCTTAATTTGACGCCACGCAGTCAATCACTTTGAAGTCAATAGTTCTTTTAAATGTAACCCATCTTCCTTAGTTTAGCGAATTTATGTGAAAGTACATGACATTTCTTCAAATGTTAGTATTCCATTCACTCGTTTCGCCGGTACTGTTTCTTTTACGCCAACTGGAATCTGTTTCGTCGCATAGTCAAGACTCTTGCGTTGACGTTTTATATATACTTTGTAGAAAAGGATCCAACCAATACCGATCCATGTGATAATGCTGTCCTTTCACGTTCGACATGCGGAGTAACAGTTCCATTGTTAATACAGCATCAACTGGTTTGTTTTACTTTGTAGGAAAGGAAAATCCCAATTCATGCGATAATACTGTCCTGACACGTTCCATCTGTGGAGTGGCAATTCATTCTTCTCGATGGAATGAAACATACACGATCAAGGTCTTCGGGAGTATATCTGTGCGATATGGCTTATCAACCCAGAACCTAACACTGGCATTGGGAACGGGGGATGTGATTCAACATCAACTGTGGTCGAATTACAACCCAGGACCAATAACGGTAAATATGAATGTTTATTTGTAGACAGCTCTGTAAATGACTTTTTAATGTCTCTTGTCAATTTGGTACACTTATTCTATATACTCTGCAAAGGAAACGCAAAAGTGATTTTAGATGTATGTTAAAGATATATATCACATATATCAACAGAAGGTAATCGGTTGTTCTAATTGACAGTCATGATTGTCATTGATCAGGGTTCACATAGCACACATGGAACAGTAGATTTTCAAGGTGAAGTTATCTGTTCTCCATATATTGTATGGCCACCATTTGAGTCCAAAATTGACCAGCATCGTCGTCCCATGAACGCAATCAGATCCCGAATGGTGGCCTGTAGAATGTTCATCCACACTGTTTGCAGTGCTTGTGCCAACTGTCGCAGGTTCTGTGGTTGTTGCTTGCGTGCCACAGTCGTTGATCGAGTGCATCCCATGTTCGATTGAGTTTAAATCTGGAAACGCGGAGGGCCATGGCAGGACCTGGATGTTGTGATTCGTGAAAACGGCTGTTGTCATGATCAGTCTTGTCGTGTAAGTCGGGCGTTGTTTTGTTATAAAATGACGTTCGATTGTTGCATAATGTGAAGGACGTGTGGCCGAAGAATCCCATCCGTGTAACATTGCCCAGAACTGGCACCTAGTCTGTTCTCTCAGTGGATGAGATGTCTGCCCACATCATAACACTACCACCACAGTATATGTCCATGACCTGAAACACTCTTCCAAAAAAGAAACGCATAGTTTAAACATAAGGATATTTATTAAGCGGATGTGAAAGTATCTACACAGAATATGCGTGAACGCAATCAAATGAAATTAGACACAGTGATCGACAAAAGCATTGTCGTCATTGTCAGCATTAATTCAGTTCCGTCATTTCACATGTGTGGCCACAAGGGGGCGTCCAGGTCAGTACCTGGTCACACCTCCTCTTGCAGGCGTCACTTCTCGACACCTCCTTGGCACAGACTGCACAAGTCGTCGGATTTATTTGTGGGGAATTCTTCGCCATTCCTCCTGTAAGGCGTTGGCGAGTTGTGCCAGTGTGTAGGGACGCTGGTGACGTTGACGGACGCGTCGATCAAGTTCGTCCCACAAATGTTCAATCGGGTTGAGATCGGGCGATTTGGACGGCCTGGAAGGGCCGAGCGTTGTCATGTTGGAACAGCTCCCTCAGGCGGTCCAAAGTTGGGAGGAGGTGAGGACATTGGTCTATGTATCGGTTTGCTGTAAGATTGCCCTGGACAACTACTAACTGTGATCTACTGGTGTAGGATATAACTCTCCACACCACGACACTCCTCTACCAAATCAGTCCACCTATCGAACGCAGTTCGGCACAAAACGTTCATGTCGACGTCGGTATACACGTTGTCTTCCATCCCATCGTTGAAGAAGAAATGGTGACTCATCGCTAAACTATACGCGTCGCCAGTTCCTGAGCTCCCATGCCTGTACTCTGTTGCACCACCGGACACGTCGTTGACGGTGTAGACGTCGCAAGACAGGTCCAACATTTAGTCGTCTCGCTCGAATTCCAACTTTCCTCAGACGATTTCTGATGGTTTGGTCGAAAATTCTTCGCATACCAGGCACTTGTCCTGCAGTGTCCGTTGCTGTAGCAAATCGATTCCGAAGGTGATGCAACCGGATGTGCTCACTCTTGGTCTTCAACTTCTGGGATGATCTTGGGTCGAATTAGTGCGGGTAGATCGATCCCATAGTCGAGATATGGTGCTTTGGTGAACGTTGAAATGCCTTGCAACGGCAGACTTGGACTCCCCTGCTTCCAAACGTCCAATGGCGATATTTCGGCCAGCTGCAGTTAATCATGGCATTTTTCTATCTCCGTTCACATCAGAAGATTCGTAATGAACTGATGAATTGTACGGTCTTTTATAGTCAGTGTCTCTACTCTGGTTTCCAACATTTCGCACGTGCATTGTGCTGAAAACTTTTTCTGAAAGCAATTTCTGTGCATCCTTTGCATTTTTGCTGATAAACGTTTACAAAAACCAATTTGAGATGTGTTTGCGCGCAATGCACAACAAACATGACATGATTAACGGGAATCAAACATAGGAATTGTCTTTATGACGATTTCTGGGGAAAAATCTAATTGGAATTCTCAAAACATCTATGCGTTTCTTTTTTTGAAGAGTGTACTTTCGTGCATAAAATCCCCCGCGACGCCTGTAAACACGGCGTCTACCATCCGCCCGGCGAAGCATAAAAGGTGACTCGTTACTGAGCAAAACCGGTCGACGTGCTCAGTGACTTTGACACCTTTAACGTCGCAGCCGACGATAAAGATCCGTCAAAATGACATTGAACTTGCCGTCTAGCGCGAATACCTTCATCGTTTAAACGTTTCCTCACTGTCTGGGCTGATATCCTACACAATCCTGCTATTGCCGTAGTTGTAGACGTGGACGTGGTGGTTCTTTCATGTAAGTGACGTAACCTTTTTATTCTCCCCTGAGCTCTGGTAGTGATACGTGTTCGACCGGAGCTGGGAAGGTCACGTGTTGTGCCGTGTGTCTGATAAAGGCCCTACAGTCGTTTAATGGTGCTTAGTGATTCGTGGAAAAACCTGGTTGCAGCTGAAGATGATTCTCCTGTTTGCAGTCGACCGATGGCGTTGTTCCTTTGGGCTTCCAACAATCGTGGCATGTTTTCGCTGTTCACTTGCAGTACGATTGTGATTGCATGCATATAAAAATCCAACGTTTTTCATAGCCTAACAAGTGATGTTACATCTGGAAGTCATGTTAGTGTGTTTTGGCGCTAGGCTCTTACGTGCTTATGTTTTGGGTATTTTCCCATTATTTTACCAAATTTCTACAGTATTTCATCCTTTCCTCACAAATCAGTTCTAATCCATGGAGAAATGAGCTATTAATATTTTGGTATTAATTTTGTATGGATGTCGGCACCACTGTCAGATATTTACGATTTTACTACTTATGCATTTCTCTTTACAGAGCATGTAATATACAAATTCAAATTTTCAAAATCAAATTTCAAATTCCATGAATGAATAGCAATAGGCCGTGCATCCTTCTTAATGCATATCCATTTCAAAAGATTCATAAGGTAACAGTAAACGTTAATCATACCCAGCATATCATAAAAAAGGTATTTTCTTGATCACAGGTACAAGTTTTGAAGAACACTTCGCAAATACAGAACAAAGATTGCTTCGCTACAAATGACCCACACATGAAAACATTTGATGGCAGGTAAATATATTCTTGCTTTATGACGTCATATAACGCTTGTTGTTTGATCAAGGTTACAACATTCAAGGCCTCAGTAAAGTTTTCAACAAGTTTTATGGTAGACATGTGGAGGATATTTCCAAATTAGACACATCAGTGACCAAAATGATGTCCGAAGCAATTCCTTATTTTGACTATGTTCCCGTGTTATTTTCAGGTGAACAATTGATTTGCCATTGCATGTGAATCGTACAATCGATTCTGCTAAATGCAGAGATTTCTATTGGATATGGAAAGGGTTTTGTTGCTTAATTTATTGATAGAATTTAATATAGTCAATGAACTACAATGTGACAATGGTCTGATATTATTTGTAACAGGGATTCTAATAGACTTACATATACATGTATAAGGACAGCAACACACAATGTCATTGGCAGCAGTAGTTGCTCAACGTGATTTTTTGACAACTGTATAAAGGATTACTTTCGTTCACCGGAGTGAGTGAGTGAGTGAGTGAGGTTTTACGCCGCTTTTAGCAATATTCCAGCAATATCACGGCGGGGGACACCATAAATGGGCTTCACACAATGTACCCATGTCGGGAATCGAATCCGAGTCTTCGGCGTGACGAGCGAACGCTTTAACCACTAGGCTACCCGACCGCCCTCGTTCACCGGAACATTGTCACTAAATGGTGTATTAATCTATAGATCGATAGGGGTTAAGATATTGATTACATTAAGACAGAAATGTTGATTGTTTAATTCCTGCCAGCTAAGAATGCGTACCTATATGTGAGATACATCACTCGATATACTGAATACCTTCAACCATTGCTCTTGCAAAGAACATATATCATGCAATGCATTTGAGACAATATAAATTGAATAAAATTTACATGAATAGATACCGATAAAATGTCCCCCATGTTATAACATTATACAGTATATTATCCGCGGTGTTAAGATTACAATTAATGCACTTGCATCATATTTTCCAGGAGATACGAACATCAATATGAGGGAACATTCTCAATGTACAAGCATTCCGAACTTCCTATTGAGGTAAGATAGTGAATGAGGGAGTGAGGGGGTTTAAATTTATAGTCACATCGGCAATTTAAAATTTTGTTGCGATAGTTTCAACCACATCTTATGTTTTCATTTCACTAAACATAATGCTACTGCACTGTAACAATACCCTTTCCAGGTTCAACTCAAGACAACACAATGTGGATCGCGAGCGTCGTGTAATTGTGGTTTAGCTGTTCGAGCAGGACGGACAGTGTTTGAGCTCAACAGGTGCGCGGATCTGACCAACATCTGGAAAATACAATACACACTGTGTGAGGATGGTGGAGACGTATTGCAGGTTAAGAGAAGGGGAAGCAGCTATGAGGTATTTTTCTTTCTGAGGTATATGTTTGTTGTAAGTAAGTAAATGAATATGGTTTATGCCTCATTTGATAAAATTCCAAACATATCACGGCGGTAGACATCTTCAATTGGCTTTACATTTCTGTTACATTTTTGGATGTGTAAATATGTGTAACATTAATTGGGGAAATCTATTGGGTAAACAAATTATTTTCCTGCATGAGCCTAGATATGCTACCTGTAGAGCAGGACAAACTTACTCATTTCGTGAAAGCATGGTGTCATAACTGATTTTCAATGATCTATTCAAATCAGTTTCAACACTATTTTGCCTTTTATGCTCAATTGAATCTATTACGGTAGGGGCGGTCGGGTAGCCTAGTGGTTAAAGCATTCGCTCGTCACGCCGAAGACCCGGGTTCGATTCCCGACATGGGTACAATGTGTGAAGCCCATTTCTGGTGTCCCCCGCCGTGATATTGCTGGAATATTGCTAAAAGCGGCGTAAAACCATACTCACTCACTATTACGGTAGATAGTCGAAACTAAATTTTCTCTGGCGCTGCCGTTTTGTATTTACATCATTTATCACCTACGAATGACACGGGTCGTAACTTAAAGTCTACGACTCACTGCATGCGTGTGGTCTAGGTCCAGCTGATAACTCCTTGAAGAGAAAACAAAAGGAGTCACTGAAACATAGGGAATCACTGAAACACGGAGATTGCACAAATTCCAAATTATGTTCATTGAAGTTATACCAATGTTGGCACTTTAAGTACTTCATGACATACTTCACATACAAGGGGTCGATCTATCCAATCAATCAAAATAAAGGGAAGTTTGAAACCAGTCTGATCGCCTCAACTGTTTCATATTTAAATATTTTACATTGCCAGTATGACAAGAGGGGTGACTTCAATTTTACAATAGTCAAATTTCCTTTCATGCCGACTATTATTACAGCTGCTCCTGCCATTGGTGTCCACATTTCACAACCGTTGAGGTACAATCGAGCATGCCCTTTCTTCCGATATTTCAAAGAGGTATCAACAGCAGTCAAGGTTTCAGTAAAACTTTCAAAAAGGTTTTATGGTAGACATGTGGGGGACATATGTTTGTATGTGATCACAGAAGATCCGGATATGGCATCTAGTAATCTCAATAATGACTTGTAGGTTTCATCTATCACCACCGAGTCTCTGGGAACTCGGTGTGATAGCAGTAAAGCTTCTGGTTGACTGGTTGTGTTTTGTCATATATATTGCAAGAGTATATTTCCCTGCTTCAGCTAAAATGTTTGGGACTACAGTTTTTCCACTGGGCATACGTTTTTTGTTTAAAATGTGCTGGCCCTTAAGAGTTTTAGTTTACTCTGCTGAGTTTCAGAGACTGATTGGGGGTGAGCTTTTATTGAACAATATCCCACTGGTGTGTCTTTAAGGTATACCTGCCGACAGGAGGGAAGATCAGTATCTACCTGTACTCCACCTTCCTCAACGTGTACATCTACCCGTCGGTCCAAGATATCGGGAACAGTAGAGGTCTCTGTGGTAAACTGTCCGATGTCTGCAGCGACGACTTTGTCATGAGAGACGGCAGCTACTCCGCCGACAATACTTCTACCGATGCCTGCAATGCTAGGTATAGGATCTGGGAGAACCTACTCACGACATTCTCCAACTCGTGGAGGTGAGAGACTCTAATACAGAACTTTAACGCACATAGGACTATAACGCTCGTATTCGTTTCAATTGTAAAGGTGAATAGGTTGATACAGGTAAAATTAATAGGAAAAATTAAATTTGAAACAATTTGTGTTCAGAGATAGATTAACTGCGGCGGCATACAACATGCACCCGATCACGGAGATGAAAACTAAATGCTCAGTACTTAGTTGTTGTGTCTAGTGGGAAGATTTGAGGGTATTTGAGAAAAGATTGGGACGAGGTTGCTTGGTTTTCAATGTAATGTGACACATAAAATGTTTTCCTCATTTCGCTGGACCGCTTCCTTGTCAGGTGTTTGAGCGTCCGCGCGGAGAGTGGAAGGTCGGTGGCTCGATCCACGGACACGTCATACCAAAAATACGTCAAAAGATCTTATTTGTTGTTACCCTGTCTGGCGCACGGCATTAAGGGGCTAAAACAAGGAATGGTCGGCTCCGAGTCAGTATACTGTGTCTGAGTGGGGCATTCATGTTAAACTGCGGAATGGTATCTCGGTGTGCTAGAACTATAAATCGGCATCAGTGCGGACTACTACAAGCAGCCACACACACACACACACGTGCATGCACGTCGCTATATACGTGGAATAATCTTGAACACGACGTTAAACCCCATTTCACCTCGCCTCGCCTGATTTCGCTGACCATTCCCCATTCCCCATCAACCCTAGGAAAACACAGCATTTGAGTGTTCGAATCTTACACAAGTTGCGATCTGGAAACGACCTCTGCGAAATGAGTACAATATCCTATGTCAAACGTTTTAACATACCTTGTTCCAATAAAGCGTTCTCTGTACGTGTTGCGCAGGAAATAAAAGCAAGATAAGAGGGAAAGAGCTTATGTTTCCTCTACTGTTTTGCCTTTTAAGCAGAATGTAATCTTTTGGGGCAGATAATCGAGACCTTATTTCTCCAGGCGTTGACGATGCATTCAGTTAAATCCCGAATGCCATTATTGGCCTTCACGATGACCTTTATTAAAGCTAGAAATTAGCTCCGCCCATTAGCAATTAACCCCGCGGCATGGGATCTCAGTGGGCAAGCACTAGGTGACCGTTATTAGTCCAGACTTTGTGCAAGCAGACACGAACAATATTCTTGAACGCGCATAAATACAAATGCAATGTTGCAGGGTTAACGGGGAAGAGGATCTCTTTGATTATGATACACACAGACGTTTGGATCCTTGGTCGAAGACAAACACATTCTGTTCCTGTACAAAAGATCCTACAGGGATTCAACTGGTCAGAGAAGTCACCTGTACTGCCGATGCAGCTCGAACAATCTGCAGCACACTTTATGGGTTTACTGATGTTCGCCAGACAGATTGTTCAATCAAGGAGAGACGCAAGAGGCGGTATGCAAATATTCAGTCAGCAAGGAAGGAACCACAACGACTGAAGAGGGTATTTATAGTTATTTTCTTCTTGTTTTAGCATAACTGCATTCTATCATGTGATCGATATGATGTTTATTTATCCAGATATGATCTACTGCTGTGATACAGCAGTTATGTAGATAATCACCTGTCACAATGGACAGTAAAGCATAAGTACAGTAAAAAAAGGTAGCCTAAGATCTAGCCATATCAAATATTAAAATACATACATCAATGTTACATGTTTTACTATTAAAATACTGGCCACCAGCAACAAAGGCTAAACCACCTTACCTATTGTAGTTTTACTCAAATACACACACATGTATATCAACACACACACACACACACACACACACACACACACACCTGAAATTACTCCTGAAGTGCCGTTAAACGGATAAACATCTTGTGTGGATAAAGGAGTTTTGACAGGCACGAATATCTGGACTCTGTTTTTAGGTATAATTAATGATTGGATTGGATTGTTGTTTAACGCCGCACTCAGCTATATGACGGCGGTCTGTAAATAATCGAGTCTGGACCAGACAATCCAGTGATTAATATCATGAGCATCGCTCCACGCAATTGGGATCGATGACATGCATCAACCAAGTCAGCGAGCCTGGCCACCCGATCCTGTTAGTCGCCATTTACGACAAGCATAGTCACCTTTTACGGCAAGCATGGGTTGCTGAAGACCTTTTCTATCCCGGGATCTTCACGGGTTAGGCATATTTAAAACTTATACACCTGTATATATGTATGTATGTATGTATTTATATGTAAGTAATTTCCTCAATCTACATGTATTGTCTGCTCGTATTACATAAACACTCAATGCAGATTTCATAAAAATTAAATTCCAACACTCGTATGCTTCTCCAGTACAGTGAAAACAGCTTTAATGTTTATCATTCTATTTTGCATATCCCAGAAATCGTACGCTGGACAACTAACTGTTTGTATGTAGTTCATTTCAGAGCATATAGAGAAATCATGATAATATAAATCAAGTTGTTTAGTAAAGTTTAATGCCGCTTTGTACAACATTTAAGTTGCATATCCGTCAGCTTAACTTGAGGGAAACCCCATCTTGGTGTAGGTCTGAGGCAATTTTGCAAATCATTCAAACATCCGAATGTAGGTATGGTGCAACCCGCTGTCTTTTGATTCTGACATGCCTAAGGGAGGTAACTGTACATAGCCTGCGATACTCTTGCCCCATCTTGTTTATACTCACATAACATTTTCTCACTAATACAAACGTTTCAATGGGCTACTCACTGTCTATTTATAACTCATGTTTAAGAAATGAACAATGTTTACCAAAACGACATACGTCTACAGAAGAGTTATTTGGTGCAGTGTCGGGCAAAGGGCCCTTGTATTCTGTAAACGATATGTCCTTTGAGGATAGCAGTAATCAACAGAACCACAATTCGGTCAGGTGGGAGGTAAACACCAGAGACTATATTCCGAGGGACAGGCCTCAGCAGGAGATTAGCACTAACGAGATTATTGGCTGGGAACGCCAATACAATACTCTACGGATTCTGTTAGATTTAAATTTAATTAATATTCGAAATAGAACTTATATATATCTTGTAATTATTATTATATATAATCCAAACATTCTATCAAACCGAACACTGTTGATTTTGTTTGAGTACCGACACCTTGACTTTCTTCTGATACATTATTTTAATACAGGTAGAGGTATTAAAATATGCGTCATGTTCGCCAGTCGCAAGTTTCAGTCGAAATAGAAATCAATTATGTTTAAACCATTTTAACTTGACATGCATTAAATAAACATTAACCTCTCTGAACTTCATCACCTGTACTGAACATTGAATACATTTTAACATGAATAAGTAAGGTAATGAAATTAATGAGCGGTACTGCTTTGTTTTATTTGCTTGGTACTGGGAGCGCCAAATCCCGTGTCAGTGAACCGTGCCTGAGCCCTTACTAGTCCCGGTAACACAAAGAGGAGTTTTCCTCCTAAATATCTAGTCTAGCGCACTCGGGCCGACACTCAACGATCACTGCCGTGCCCTGGGGTGTAATGTTGATACACTGCATTGAGACAACCCGCTGTTGTCCTCCTTGCGGGATATGGCCTCTGATGTTCTTAATATCCTTATTCTCTACATTATGCTTTATACTGTAAACAAATATTTTTTTACGCAGCAAGCTGAAGGAGAGTGGCTGGATGGATGGACAGAGGAAAAAGCCAGGGCCTACTGTACGAAAATATTCCAGGCTTCAAGGTCCGTGCAGGTCTGCAACAACGTGACTGGAGTTGACACCATGGGAAGCATAGACAACTGTGTGCTGGATATACGAGTATGCTGATTTCGTCTAAAACCTTTCGAGGATATTATAATGTTCTTTACATCATGTTAACACATTTTACATCTCTCATTGGGATTTTTGATGATACAGGTAGCCTTTGCCACCTTAGCGCTAAGGTGATCGTTACACTGATACTTTAACATAGACTTACGACAATCGTAGCGCCAAGGTCGTTCTGTACAACGGCACCCTGCTTAATTGCCCTTGGTTATTATAGGATTTCCGTGTGTGTGAGGGATTGAGCCAGATGTCACATCGGCAGTATTTCAGCAATATTGTGATTTTAAATGTTCACAATAGATCAGAAATATATATTCTTCGAAGGACTGCAAAACAAAACAACTATTGGTGCATCGCATCGACCACTGTATCCATCATATAACTTTTAAAGTTGTCATCTTTTATATATTGTAGTAATCCTTTATGCGTTGAATGATTGATTGAATTGTTTTCAAATAACCGCGGTGCCTCTTGGTAGCGCCTTCTTCACTGTAATACAGGATTTCTGCCTGTCTGTAATACATGTACTTAACGGTGGACAATTTTGTATCCTAGCTGACCGGTACCACGGCCTTTGCAGCGTTTGCCTTGGACACCGTGAGAGACAAGTGCCTGCATGAGGTTGCAGTTAACCCTGTACTCCAGAAGAAGAGCGGTGCTTCTGCCAACCATTCTATCTATGACATCGTTGTAGCGGAGGCGTGTTTAAACGACTGTAGTGGACATGGGAATTGTACTGAAGGTACACTTGATAGGCTGCTTAGAAATTAAATTATACAATGGAAGCATGGAGATATGAAACCTTTAACAACATATAGGTATTGGAAGTGAAACAGGTGTGTGCTGTTTTATTCCTTATACGAATCACCATGTTGCATACGGCCCTTGATTGTCATGAACCCCAGTGACTATTCCCTCAATATCTGCATTCGCCTTGTAATTTGCGATTGGTTAGAGAGCAATGTGATTTCTGTGTCACATAATACTAACAGTAAAACCCTCATTTGCAGGTGAATGTGATTGCGACGCTGACTACAACGGTGTCGACTGCTCTGTTGATCTCACGGCTCCTCCAGCGATAGACAGCATACAAGATAACGGCCACTGTGACACGTCACGTAATCAGTGTCATGTGATATCAGTTTATGGCGAAATATTCCTAGATAACCTAACGTCTTGTCACGTGGACGCTTTTAGGGTAAATATGATTCTTTTGCTATGTAAACTCCAAATAAATGCCTTGTAAGATGACCAGTGACAACATTTAGTATCAACACCATCATGGATATTGTCCTTTTTCACTGATCACACTATATGCTTCACAGGTATACAACACCAGCAGTGAAAGGAAATGGTCAAGAACGTCGCTCGGGTCAGTTGTCAGCATCAGCCAGGTGGACTGTGATATTTCATCTCAGAGTGTCATTGATAATGGAGATGCAGCCAAAAATGCAGCCTACATTTTGGCCTACAAAATTTCAGTTTCTAACAAACCGACCAACTTCAGCTCCAGCGTTGGAGTGATGCTGTATGACAGCACCTGCATCAATGGCACGGTGAATGGGACAGACTTCACCTGGACGTTGAAGGTACTAAACGTAATAAGTGTTTGGTGAATCGAAAAAAGGGCCCGTGAAAAGTATGTAAAAGCACATAATATTAAAAATGATGCATTCAGTTTTAGAATAAAATAGTTTATTTTTCATAGTGTCTCCTCAGTACAGATTGGTAGTACAAATGCACCCACACCTTGGGGTTACACGCCATGAACTCGAGGGGTTTGGGAAGTTCTACTTGATCATGTCGAGTTTGTTTCTGCAGGGGGCATACTGCTTGCATGAGGGGAAGTGTGTGATGAACGGAAGCAGTCACCCAGTCCTGCCCTGCACAGTCTGTGATGTTTCTGATGGTGGGAGACGCTGGGTAAACAGTGCAGGTGATTATCCTTTACAATAACGTTGGATCATCTTACCTCAGTCTCCAAGTTGTGGAAACTGAACTGAATAAAAGCGACAAAACCCTTTCCATATTCATAAGAAACCTTCGCCCAAAGAAGAGTCGATTGTACGATTCCGACTATCAATAATTTACTAATGATATCATATGTCCGGTTTAAATTTGAATTCATCCCATCATGTAAATTCTCTGTCAAGGATAGATGGAATACAATCATAAAAAAAGCGACAAAATCCTTTCCGTAATAATAATAAATATCTGCTAAAAGCAGAGTACATTGTACGATTCAAACTATTTTCACAGGCATGTATTCATGAATTACTGTCATATAGTGGTGACAGCAGGTATTCGCAAAAAGATGAATTTGCGTTCAGGTTAACAATTGGCTTGCCTTTGCATGTGTTTGTGACGGTGACAGCGCTGGGACAGGATAAGCTCACCTTTTCGCGAACACCTGGTATCATTACTATTTGATAGTGATTAATAAAAACATGTTCATGATAAAGACGGAATCGTACAATCGACTCTGCTTTATGCAGGGTTTTCTATTGGATATGGAAAGGGTTTTGTCGCTTTTTTACAGAAAGGTTTTATCACTTATTATTAGTTTATGTTCCAACCAAATGAACATCGTTTTCTGTGACCATGTTCATGTTGTAATTGCGAATAACAACGTGTTTACTGCACCTTTGCATAAAACAGTCCAAGACAAATCCTGCGGTAAAATTATCAAAATATATAATTATTCAGTAAAAACAACCCTCTCCCCATCACAAATTAATACCAACTCATATGCAGTGTCTTTGATATTTATATATTGTAGGATGTAACTATAGTATATGTAGTCTTAATGCCGCAAGTGCGTTTAAAAGTGATGATTTTATATTTTGAAAGTTTGTTTTTTATATGTTGTAAGTTTGAATCGCATGTTGAATATGTTGGCATCATTTGAGTGCAAAAGCTTGAATACTGATTGATAAAAAGTATTCTGTGATTTTTCTGGAATTTTGCGGAACGAAAAACAACGGTGGACTTATTTTCCCAAGTTTATTAATGGATTGGTTTTGTTACATTTGCAATACAGTAACGAATGCATTAATACATGTGGCGTGTTATCACCAGTTCCTGCATGCACTGAAACGACCACACTAACGTCTGCAACAACTGCTTATGTTGAGACAACTGCACCTACTACGACAACTAGAACAATGGCGACTACTGTGTTCACGGAAACTACTTCTACTGCACCTACTATGTCCGGCGAGATATCTTCATCTGCAAAGACAACTACAGCTACCTGGTCTGTCGAGAAAACTACAACTACTACATCTTCGGAGACAACGACAGCTACTGAATCCGTAAAAGGGTACAAAATCTCCCTCGTCGCATCTGTAGCAGCATCGGTAGGGGGAGTTGTTATTTTAAGCGTGGTTGCTGTCATCCTCTTCGTGGTTTTCGTGCGTTACAAGAACAATGACAAGGTGGGTATAAACGCATAATAGACTCCTCAAAATATTTGGGGCTTTTATTAAAGAATAGGTTTTTTTGTAATTAAAAACATATTTATTGTCAATCGTTGTATTTACTTTTATTATAATTATTTGTTGATAAATTCATCTAAAAAAAGGGAAATTATTATCAAATATATATATTAACATTCATCTTTATCTCATCTATTTTCACAGGCACTGTTGAATACAAGCATATCGGCCAATAGTCAGGAGAACTTACCTCCCTTTGGAAAAAACTCTCTTGGAAAGAACACGTGGATTCCGAGACCGAAAACTATGACATAAATAATACTGATATTATCATGGCATGTGTTTCATAACATTTTTGTATGCATTTCTACACTCTTGTTAAGGGCATATCAATACACATTCTATACATACTGAGGATTAATCATATAAAACATATTTGATAAATCTTTGTATTGATTTTAAAGGTTGAATTGATGATACTTTGTTGTGTCCTTATAAAGGTTTATGCTTGGCAAGCGATCTGAAAATTTATATTATTTACCCTATTTCCTCTATTAGACACCCGTCTCTTAATTTCGTACAAGCCGTTGACCCCGCCTATATTAGAGGCCGGGGTGTATAAAAAAACAGGATGCCATTGACACAACCTCAGCACTACGGTTGCCGTAAGTCTATGTTGAGGTATGACAGTTACGATCACCTTAGTATTAAGATTAAGATATTAGTATGGCAACTCACTGACCTTAACAAATCCCAAATTCTACAGTCTTTCAAAGGGTAAATTGCAAACGGTCATCAACGGTCACAACATATCGTATCACAGTATTTTAACACCGGCTTCAACAAGAGAAAATACGGTATCTTTCCTGATAACTTCATGTTGCGGTGGCCTGTAAGTAGTCGAGTGGAAACGAGAACCAGAACAGGACATCATGTTCCACCCATGCCGTCGGGCCACGATGACTTGTACAGATACCCTGTCCTCAATAGTTTACACCTTGTAGTCGGCTCGCAGTCAGTACACTGTGTCTGAGTTGGGTATTTATGTTAAACTGCGGCATGGTATCTCGGTGGGGTAGCACTATAAATCAGCATCAGTCCGGAGTTGTACAAGCAGCCACACACACCCTCACACGTGTGTGACGTCGCTAAGTACAATAATCTTGGACGCGACCTTAAACCCTGTTTCACCTCACCTCGCCTTACCAACAGCCTCTCACAGAACTCGGGGCGTTCATGTGCATATCGTTCAAAACTCCTCAGTCAGATTTATGTTTGTGTACCATTAATATTTAGGTTCTGAGCCGAAACCGTAAAGGTTATTATTCTGCCTCCGTTCTGGCGAACCGTTCCAACAAATATGGCTATATGTACGTCTTTTCGCAACCGCATGTATGTGTTTGTGAAGAAAACATATTTGTAGACTAAACGTTCATTTACTGATATTTGTGGAACTAATATAATGTAATGATTATTACTAATGATAACGATAATGTCATTCGAAAAACCTAAAGACAGTTATAATTTTATTGCTATCTTACATGACACGTGTGTTGGTATTTTTTACCTTTTTTTGCTTATATATATTGATATGTATGCCATTAAATCAACTTAAACATTATTGACTGGTTTAGAAGCAAGCGAATAGTGCAAATACTTTCTGTCCTAGTTTCAAAGTGCTGACTCTTTCAACAAATATCTTTTTATAGCTTCAAATTAGAAACAGTTTAATATATGCAAATCCTCTCTGAACTCTGTTAAGATTTGACGTTTTTCAGATTGTCCCATACTGGCAAAGGTGAGCGAACTTTCATCGCTAGATACCCATGGACTTAACTTGAAAACTTGAAATGAAAATAATACAAAACATCTCTCTTAAAATACGGCAAGAGTAAGGAGTTGGTTAGACGTTACTGAAGACATCTAGACCAGCTGAACTGGTATAGACATGCATATAAAGTTTCTTTTCATTGTTTTGTTTTAGGGTCTGTATGACGGACTAGTCGGGTCGGGCAACAGGGCAATGCCACATATAATGTGTGAAAACAGGGTTATTTAAATAAAGAGCACAATTTATGATTGTAACTTATAATCGTGATGTAAGTGTTTATTCTTTACTGAAAAAGTAAATTTAAATTGAACATATGTGCTTGCCCTCAGTATTAACATTCACAAACGTGATATTCGTAATGAGCGATATTTTCTACGTACTACCAGTGAGTCGACGTTATGTTTACTCAATATATCTGCAAGAAATTGTGTTTCTGAACTCATCACGATACAGTTGTAACGATCCATCACATGCTTGCATTAGTCATTGATAACAGCCTGTGTTTGGATGTTTGAGCAGTATGCTGCGCTAGATATTGTTGGTTAAAATATTATAAAACGGACAATACACAGGTTATATGAACGGTAACAATATAGATACATGGACGTATATATAAGACGGCACAAATAGGACATAATAGCACATCCAGTAGCTAATATGCAAGAGAACCATTTAATAATTATATTTAACAGTTCATCTTTTAAGTTATTTTTCCTGACTTAAAAGTAAACGTAAGAACACACTCGTTCCGAAATCTAGTACACAACAAAATGACTATGTAGTACACAATAAGCATGGGGTTCCCTGTTTTAATCGGTTTGGGTGGCAGCCTAGATATCCATAGAACAGACGTCATCTGTTCGGAATATGTGACAAGTAATCTGCTAAGAACATAGCCGAGTACATTGTAACATCAGATCACTATACAAGTAGAGATTGCTGCAGAGCATCAATAGCTCCCCGCCATATTATGTTATGTGCAGAGGAAGGAAGTGTAAGCTATGGGAGGAGAGAATTGGTGTAAAGTACAAATTGGTTGTTATTAATGTACTTATCTTTGGAAAGCACAATAAAAGAAACAGTGTCTTTAATTGGTCTGCACAAAGAAAACCCAGGCAGGAAAACTGGGCCTGTCAGGCAAAACTTGATATATACCCATTATTAGTACCAATAAAAAAAAGTCCTATAAAGTCTATAAAGATAACACAACAAATGTCATTCTAAAGCATGCTTTTGCAGCAAATATCAATATTTCTGGTCAAAATGTTGGTTGGGTTAAATAAAGCAAACTTTTAAAATAGTAAACACAAAAAATGTAATGAATCCACTCTAAATATACTTCAGTTCAATTGTAAAATTTCACGCAATCATTAATGGATTCCCATTCATCTAGCAGCAAGTTAGGAACATACAGTTTGGTCACGTTATCTATAAATATTGAGAATTATCTTACATATTGTAAAAACAAAGGCCATAGGTCACTTTTCTCAAAACTTCGTTCAAGTAATCACAAACTAAAAACTGAAAAAATTGTACATATAAAAAAAAAACAACCCCATTTGAACAACGTCTCTGTGAAACATGTGATGTCTCAGAAGATGAACAACATTACGCACTGTCTTACATAATACAACCAAGACAGAGAATCACAAATAATCCCCAATCATGATAAAGAATTTGGTACACTCTATTAAAAGGAGCAGATTCTTAATACGTTTACCAACAGTTATCCAGAAACAACTTCCAAGATCTGTTAACATATCAACAATTATAAACAAATTCCTTGTACATGTATGTACAACATTACCATAGTTTTGCTCAATTCTCATATTGTTTCCATATCATTATAATACACTTGTTTTAGAAATTAAATTGTTATAATGTACCTCTTTTGAATGTTGAATGTTCCTGTGTTTTTTAATTGTCGTTTATTGTGCATGTATTTTGTACTTTGTGATTGTGTAATATTGCCACTGTTTCTTCATGGAATGTTCCGCAATACACATCTCATCTAAAACATCTTTGTTGTATAATAGTTTCTTACAGTTGTTTACGGGGACATGGTTGGCCCAGTCGCCGAAGGCGCTGCAATTCGCTATGCAGCGTTGTGTCCCTTGGGCACGCCAGAAACCTATGACAGTGTGTTTGAATCTCGGTTCGCTCGGTGCTCAACTATGCACAGCAAGCGCCATACATGTGATTATGAAGACAACTAATAAAACATTTCTGATATCAAACCCGTTGTTTTACATGTGTTGTTTATTGAACAAAGTCATACTTTATAGAAGCCTGTTATTTAATCGTGTTGAACAATATGTTGCAAAAGCAGTGTTAAAATTGAGTGCGCGTGACAGGCTTGGCCTAAATTCCTTCCTGGAACGTTTTTCGATGGCTGCCTGAATAACATACGATACATTGTAAAGCTAGTGCGCAATTGAGCTGTTCGGGTAAGGGAGATAATCATTCACTCTCAGTGATACAGCTTGAATAAGATACGATGTACAGCAATGCAAGGTCAGTGCGTGAATTAATCACTTCTATACTACGCCTATAGCTAAGGAGATAATCGCTCAATGCGCAATAGTTTATTCTTACAAAATATAGACCGGTTAACTTTAGCGAAATGGGATCATTTTTAGCTCTTTTAAAAACAAAATGAACAAATTTCATGGGTTATCAGCATTACGAAAAGTGTCAAAGTCTCAGAAAAGCAAGACGATTTTGAAGTATCTCTTATTGCTGGAAAAGATAAACATCAACATTTCACGCACATTTCACATGATTCGTTTCGGTAACTGTGTGGCTTGAAATTTCAAAGAAACCAACATGTCGACTTACATGCTACAAAATTAACGTCTCCCGTATACTTCCCCGCCTTAAGGGCGGGGAAGAATAAGGTATGAGGTAAGCGTTAATATATACCAAGGCCATCTTTTACAAAGATAAGTTGTGAAAGCCCGCAAATTATTCAGATTCAGTTTGACATTTGTTTGCGTATTTGTTGACTATGTGACTACGAAAGTTCTACTTTAGCCCTTCCTGAGCGGTGCGCTTTCCTATTAATTTTGACTAAAAGTCTCACTGTTATCATTTATGAGAAATGCGCATGACAGCTAGCTTACTTTTGATCAACAGAGATCAAGGGCATTACATCTCGTTTGCACATGAAGGGCTTGAATGACGTCTTGAAGGACGATATGGTTTCATTGGGATTGTTAAAAGTTGGATTTGGTTTCAAAGCTTTTGAATCAGTGGTGCGTAATACCGCCACAATTTGTGACCGTCGAGCATGGACATATACTGCATATAGGCGACCCGTAATTCGTACTCCAGTAGACTGATGAAAGTTGTCAGCAATTTGATTTCTCCATTTGAGCCCGTTTTCGTAGCTCAATCAATCCTGTATTCTTGTCGTTGACCTGGGACGCCCTGATCGGGGTCGATGGTCAACATTTTGGGTTGTTTGATATTCAGAACCTGTGAAACATTGAACGAATGACCACTACATGCTGACCTATGCCAGTTTCCAGCATGTCAAAAGGCATGTAGATGCTGCACAAACAAACATTCAATGAAATCAAGTAAATAATTAAACAGAAGAATAAGCAGAATCAATAAGATTGACAAATAATGGCCCCACCGAGATTAATCGACCTTCCATGAACGTGTCAAAAGCACGAATGACACCCGACCCCACGTGTTTGGGGCTACCAGGTCTAATCTATTTTGATGTCATTGCCTTTAGTGGCTGGACAATAGCCCAGGCCAAACTTCACCCGTTGATTGGTCCTGTTTCCAATATATATGTCATCCGCCACGTTTCTAGTTTGTTTCACAACACTGTCACCCCATGAGGACTACACTCAATATTTAGAATGATCAAACTGAAAGTTAGTTGTAGATAGTTATTATATATTTAAGTAACTATATACATTGTAATCATTGAGATGAATCATTGCACATAACACGTATTCACTGCACAAATAGGTGTAAATAAGTGCATGATAAACGTAATGTAGGTATATATACAATCTGCCAATTAACTTGTATGAATGTGTGTATGGTTTGTTTTCAATATGTTTAATCTGGTCAATATGTTGGCTAGCAATCCTTGTTTTGTAACTATTTTCTGTTTGGTTGATATATCTTTCCAATCCTGAAATGTAAGCAATATTATGGTAGCAATTTATCATGGTATTTACAATTATATACTTATCTTTCAGATGGTATAATGTCAGCCCGTTATGTCCTGATAAGGAAAACATCAGTGTATTGCACTTTATATAGGATTCTAATACATGTACGTGTTGTCTGTCTGGGTGCACGGGCACGCTGTACAATGTTTATAGTCTGTTTCATTATTATGTCATGTTGTTGACTTTATATGATTGATAAATGTCTTTATGTTAACAGTCATTTCATTTATCAATCATGTAAAGTCACCTGTCTAATATTGCATTATTATGTAACATCTGTGTAAGATTATAGACGAGCATATTTATTTACCTTGTTCGTGACGAAGACATATGTTTACTAGCTGTGACTTCACATAATGTATATTGTGTAGTCGTTGTTATGACAGAATAAATTCAAACTATACTCTTGAGTATTTTCTACTACCTTGGGAATAAACAGATATCAATATCTCACACCTCGTTGCCTGTGGATAATGAATGGTACTACTACCTAACATGAAATCGTTTGACTGGCAAAAGTATGCACAGAAATTGTCTCATTTCAGGGATATAAAGTTTCCTAGTTTAGGGTCCCAGCCAACCGTTCTTATACTAAATTTAATGAACTACCAGGAATTGCACTTTAAGGGGGGATGTCTGGGTGGTTGGTTGGTTGGTTTGTTGTTTAACGCCGCACTCAGCGATATTCCAGCTATATAATCGAATAATCGAATAATCGAATCTGGACCAGACAATCCAGTGATTGACATCATGTACATCGATCCACGCAATTGGGATCGATGACATGTATCAACCAAGTCAGCTAGCCTGACCACCCGATCCCGTTAGTCGCCTTTTACATCAAGCATCGTCGCCTTTAACGGCAAGTATGGGTTGCTGAAGACCTTTTCTACCCCGGAATCTTCACGGGTCGATGATGTCTGGTAAGCCTGGGGAACCCAGTTACTAGGCTGACACCTTTTGGGTGGACGTGTGCGATTGTAACATGGCTCCATCTTTATCAAAAAAGAGGGAGCAGGTACATCCTCGTTTGAAAAAGAGACATAGTGGAGAAAAACGTCTTGGATCTTTGGATCCAACAAAAATATTTCATGAGCGTTGATGCTGTAAATTGTACTCCTCCCTTCCGCAATAGTATATGCAGTGTTGGAGAGAGAGAGAGAGAGAGAGAGAGAGAGAGAGAGAGAGAGAGAGAGAGAGAGAGAGAGAGAGAGAGAAAACAACAACACTAAAATGTTTCACCAAAATGTGAATATTATATGTAGATCATACAATGAGGTTTGGTACCTCCCATTCTCTTGACTGACATGGGGAGATTACCCGGGTTTTCTCTCCGCCACCAAAGTTACTTATTTCACCCGGGTGGTCCTTAATGATCAACGTGTACATTTCTTTTATACTTATATGGCACATTTATTAGAGCGTTCTTTCAGGCCCCTAATAGTTATTTAGTGCGACTCATCAATGCATCAAGACTCCATCCTGTAGGAAGACTACAATATCATATGTGTCTGTGTGCGATTTTAGTGTGTGACACATTTATTACACATAATGTGCAAAAAGCATAAAAGACAACTACAACATCCAGCCTGTAGGCCTTTGAGATGATCAACCTTTAAAGCAATACTTAAGAACAATTATTAAAGAACATCACAAAATCTATCCATCCCTGACCATGAGTGAAACACCTTGGAAAATGAATGTAAGACAATAATTTAGGACAGAAGCTTAACAACTTGGCGATGAGTATGGCGACTGATGTACAGAAACAACACAAAAGGCGATTAACGGGATCGGATGGCCATGCTGGGTCGGTTTATTGCATGTATCCCAATTGCGTAGATCGATGCTTATGATGTCAATCACTTGATTGTCTGGCCCATACTCGATTACTTACAGATCACAGTCCATACAGCTAGAGTATTGCTGACTGCGGCATTAAACAACAAACGAATTGCCTTGGATGACAATACAGTGTGACTGGTATCAGATGAAACATCTCAACAAACAAAATATATTCTCACCTAATGACCCTTATCAATTACGTCACCCCTTACGACAAGCATAGGATAGCTACGAGGGAGAGACAAAAACAAAAATAATGTTCTGTAAGAAGATGAAAAAAACAAACCACATAAATCAATACAACAGCCATGTTCCGATCACGAACAGATAATGCGCTAGAAGATAATTGGCAATAATTACAATAGAAAATATACAAAAAACAAATATCTGTCATCGAGCACGTCTTGAATCGAACGTCACTACAGCAGGGATCGAAGTAGGATTTTGGTATTAAGATCACCACAGCTGTACATAATCGAGTCTGGACCAGACAATCCAGTGATTGCCATCATGAGCATCGATTCACGCAATTGGGTTACGATGACATGCTTTAACCAAGTCGGCGAGGCTGACCACCCGATCCCGTTAGTCGCCACTTACGGCAAGCATAGTCGGATTTCGTGGTACATTTGCTAGACCAAGCAATATCTCTCTCTCTCTCTCTCTCTTTGAACAGGTTATTGTGGAACTTTGTATTCCAGTACAAAAGAAGAATCGACATGACTTCAGGTTTTAGAGTCAAGTCAAAAGTTGAATTTTTTTTTAGACATTCTTTCGGCATGTTCTTATCAAACGTGGACCTGCTTTATAATACAATACGAGGGGCGTTCAATATGTTTTGCAACTTCAATATAAGACCAAGTCAATACATTTAACAACAAACAAACATGAATAAGTGATCAGCTGAGTAAATGAATCAATGTAATGTTACCAATGGAGCTCCTTGTTCAAATCACAAGCATGGCAAAGGCTGTAATGTTTGTTTGTTGTTTAACGCCGCATTCAGCAACATATGACGGCGGTCTGTAAGTAATCGAGTCTGGACAAGACAATACAGTGATTGACATCAAGTAAATTGAGGCACTGATGAACGTCAACAAATACAACTTCAATCCTTAATTATATTCCATAGCCGAGGAATTCACGTCATCGTCTGAAACACAGACCCATATCCGATTAACCCCTCCCTCACAAGAGGGAGCCTGAGCCTGAGCCTGAGCCTGTCTTAGCCACAACCTCAACTTTTGTCACGGAAAGAGATAAAGCAGTGCGAAAATAGAAGGGATCAAGGTCCCTCAAAAACATCTGGAAGTGTCTTCATCAATCCCTGTCAAGGTTCCCTGACTTCAGGTTTTAGAGTCAAGTCAAAAGTTGAAATTTTTTTTAGACATTCTTTCGGCATGTTCTTATCAAACGTGGACCTGCTTTATAATACAATACGAGGGGCGTTTAATACGTTTTGCAACTTCAATACAAGACCAAGTCAATACATTTAACAACAAACAAACATGAATAAGTGATCAGCTGAGTAAATGAATCAATGTAATGTTACCAATGGAGCTCCTTGTTCAAATCACAAGCATGGCAAAGACTGTAATGTTTGTTGTTTAACGCCGCACTCAGCAATATCCCAGCTATATAACGGTGGTCTGTAAAATAATCAAGACTGGATCAGACAATACAGTGACTGACATCACTTACACAAGTGCCGTGGCTCTGATGTATGTAGTTTCTGAGAAAATGCGCAAAGTTGAAGGAAGACTATATCCTATTGCGAATAATTATAGGAAACCAAGCAAAAACAATGCAAAATGTTACAATAGCTTAAAGTACCCTATATTTCCTATCAAACCTGTTTATAAGAAAACAATTTAGACATTCTTGTTTTTCTCAAACGTGGGTTGTACTTTATTTGTACAATATATGGTTTCCATCGCTAAAATGTATTTGCTTACCTTTTCCCCTGTTTTAAAGTTAGCTATGGAATGTAATGTAATTCCTTTTGTTTTCTTCCAGCAGTTTCTATGCTCGTTAGTTGGCACAATGTTCTTATGTAATCAATGTTGTTAGGTTCATCTTGGTATGCTTCTACTTCTCCATGTTGTGATCAACACATTTTCGCTTTATCCCTTATTATCATTCGTCGTCATGTCTCCCACAAACACTTGATAATCAATTAAGTAAAGCTGTGGATTCGTCAATAGTTTCATTTGAAGAACCATCAATTGATCAAGTATCCGTTGACATTGTCATCAAGAAGAGAATGTATATTGAATGTTCACATAGGGTCAAAGTATTGATCAAGTTTTAGCACATGGCCTGCTTATCCTGGGTCGTCATCTGTAAACAGCTTCTCCTCTGAAACCATGGAACCAATGAATGTAAAGCTCCCATCCCTCCACTGAAGGCGGCTGCATTAATTACAGAGGTTCAAATCTGAGTCTCATCCCTCCACTGAAGGCGGCTGCATTTATTACAGAGGTTCAAATCTGAAGCTCCCACCCCTCCACTGAAGGCAGCTGCATTTATTACCCGTGAAGGTTCCAGGGTAGAAAAGGTCTTCAGCAACCCATGCTTGCCGTAAAAGGTGACAATGCTTGATGTAAAAGGCGACTAACGGGATCGGGTGGTCAGGCTCGCTGACTTGGTTGATGCATGTCATCGATCCCAATGGCGTTGATCGTGCTGATGACATTAATCACTGGATTGTCTAATCCAGACTCGATAATCTACAGACCGCCGTCATATAGCCGGAATATTGCTAAGTGCGGCGTAAAACAACAAACCAACCAACCAACAGAGGTTCAAATCTGAAGCTCTCACCCCTCCACTGAAGGCGGCTGCATTTATTACAGAGGTTCAAACCTATAGCTCCCATCCCTCCACTGAAGACGTCTGTATTTAATACAGAGGTTCAAATCTGAAGCCCCCACCCCTCCACTGAAGGCAGCTGCATTTATTACAGAGGTTCAAATTTGAAGCTCCCACCCCTCCACTGAAGGCGGCTGCATTTATTATAGAGGTTCAAATCTGAAGCTCACATCCCACCACTGAAGGCGGCTGTATTTAATACAGAGGTTCAAATCTGAAGCTCCCACCCCTCCACTGTAGGCGGCTGCATTTATTACAGAGGTTCAAATCAGAAATTCAATATTTAAAAGGCTGTCTATGGCCATTTCTCAATTTTGTTCAACATTTGATGAAATGTGGTATCAGTGAATCGTTTTTTTGTTGTTGTGTTTTTGTTAAACCCCGCACTCAGCAATATTCCAGGCGTATTATGGTGATCTGTAAATAATCGAGTCCGGACCAGACAATCCAGTGATTGACATCATCAGCACTGATCCACGCAATTGAGATCGATGACATGCATCAACCAAGACAGCGAGCCTGACCATCTGGCCCTGGTAGTCACCTTTTACGGCAAACATGGGTTGCTAAAGACCAATTCTAACCCGGATCTTTACGGGTCGGGTTAATCGAGTAATGGAGATTAATATGTGTTCCGTTTTTGGTGACCTTTGCAATGTTGACTTTCATGTGAACTGTGGACTTCAACCACACTGATAGCTCAACATTCGCTTAAGGCCATTAGTAATTTCAATTATTTATTTTTTTCAAGATCGGTAAACGGCAGTTATTAGTGGGGCTCAACGTGTTTTTATACTTATGTTTACATTTGCACTTTGACCTTGTTCTTAAATTCTATAATGTCGAGGTTTGGATTTTAGCATGAATACAGTAATGTAACGCTTTAGCGAACGGGAAATCAATCAGTCAATTAATCAATCTCCAACGTGAGAAATGCAAATTGTTGTATATGTGTTTATTCATAATACTGTGAGGCCATAGGCCTATAGTTAAATTGGTTTATTCATTGCAAACTGAAAGGCCATAGGCCAATAGTTCAACGTATTTACAAGGTATGGGTGTTTCTTCTAACTAACAATGCATGATGTATGTACAATGCAATATTTTGTAATAAAGTCATATTTGAGGTTGATATGAGTATGCAAAACAAATTAATATTTGGGTGATTTGGTGATTCGATATTTGTTGCCGAATTATTTTTATTGCGTGAGTGACTGGCATTTTGATCCAGATAGAACAGCATGTTATAGGCTTTTAGTGGGTATCGCATGGATGAAAGAGTCGTTAGTTTTAAACAATAATTTATACAGCACTTTAGCGAAAATATATACAATGGATATCTGCCACATTCCCCAAGTACAATACCATTTGGGGTGGACGATCGAACCCCAATTACACGTTTACACGCACAAAGATGAACTTTTTCTATACACTCATATTTTCTATAACCCCATATTTCTGATCCATAAAGTAAAATTGGCATTATCTTTGTCTCAAAAATTTGAAAGTATAAATTACAGGGCAGATTATCATATTTTAACAAACATTGTAGGATTGACATCAACACTTTCTTAGCTTTAACAGATGTAGGTTCTAGATATTTATTCCAACTCAAAGTCCTAGTAAACAATATTCCAAGGTAAGTATAAGATGAAACTACCTCTATATGTGAGTCTTTGTATATCCATTTCTCTATAGTTAATGTTACATAGTAATGGGCGTATATACATTTATAAGGTAACACATTTGGAGCTTCTTAGCTTCATAGCATGCAATATGTACATTGACAGCTTTTTCGTTAATACTTCATTCTTACTTGACATTAATGTAGCAAATTTCTGTAGACTTGGATAACGGATATAATATTTACCAATGAACTGTTTTCTGAGTTCGGCATACAACTGACAAAGTAGAAAGAAATTGTATATCTTCCCGTCTCGATAAAGAGTTCGTTTGAACCACATCTGAATCATGCAAGTGCAATTTGAAATGTTTTTAGTGTCACATCTAATAAGTATTGCTCTCCACAGAAGCTGTTTTTAAAGACAGAATAACTTGATAGTTTCTTTGATACTAATAAGTAAAAATGCCAATTTTTAATGTACATATCTTTCAGGGTCTGAGCGAAATGATCTGTTATATTCGTATCCTGTTCTGTCCATATATTTTGCAATAACCACATGAATAAAGTTGATGCTTAACAGAAGATGCTCAGTCAGTGTGTCCTTGTTGATCATAGGGTAATAACATGTTATAACATCCATATTCTCCATAGACCATTAGCTCAGACGATATTTCCAAGAACTTTCATATGTTGAAGAATTCCAATTAGCATCTTAGCTTGTACAGCAGCTTGGTAAGCATGCATCTTCCATGACAATCTTTTTGTAAAATATACACCTAAGTACTCATAGAACGATACAACATCTAATGAATGTCCTTGATAAAACCATTTCTCTCTTCTAGCTAGTGTATCACAAGTTTTAAAAACAATAACTTTTTTATTCTTGTTGACAGATAAATTCCATTCTGTGCAATAACATTCCAGCTGATTAATTTGCTTTTGTAGTCCAGGTATTGTGCTTGAAAACATTCCTATATCACCAGGAGACAAATAAATAACTTTATAGTGCCCGGGTGAAGTTGGATGCCATCAGAACAGTTCTGCAGAATTTGTTGAGCTAATTAATTGATACAGAAGAAGAACAAAAACGAACTTAAAATGCAACCTTACTTAACGCCAATTTTGTTTTCAAATGTGTCAGACACAGTACTGTTATTTCGCACATAAAGCTTTACATTCTGATACACAGCACATTAACTTTCCATTTTTACTGCGAATACCATGTGCTTTGTAACGTGACCATGATTTATTTCTGCTAACAGAATCAAAAACATTTGAGAAATCTACAAAACAAAATGCGTATAATTACCACCCTTCTTTGCTAGGTACTTTCGTATTATTGTTTGCAACAACAATAAATTATCAGTTGTCGAGTATCCTTGCCTGAAACCAGATTGAGACTCACTAATCTTTTCATAAGCATCAGCCCAGAATACTAACCTTTTGTTATTAATATATATGAACACTTTGCTAAAAATGCTTGATAACACAATGCCTCACAATGGTACAAGGATATCTGTAGAATGTTTAAAAAATCTGAAATAAGTTTGTCATTCTCCTATGTCATCACTCGTAATCGATGTCTCGTTATAAGTGGATATCAGCATATGTTTTACTGTCATCTTCAAATCCAGAAAGAAAGTCATCATCACTGTCATCATGAGCTATAAATAACTTCTTAAAGTCATCGTACCAATTTTCAATACCAATATCATTATGAATATTAGGAGCTTTTTAAGAGTTGACCAAAAGACTTTTGAATTATGAATGCTTTTCTCAAGAAGTTCCTGTTTCATTTTATAATATTAAACTTTCGTTTTTCTACATGATTCATTATACTGATTCCGGATGCGCTGATAATTTTCTAATGAAACCAAATCTTTTTTCCTTCGAAATATATGTAAACATCTACATCTTTCTTTTTTTTAATAAAATCACGACAACTATCATACCACTGACGATGCGGTCTGATTCACATCTTCCATTCATAATATGGATGTTAAGAATACTGCACATATCTGACAAACATTTACCAAACCTGTTTATAGTAGAATCTACCGAAAATCGTTTTATGTTAAAGTTAAGTAATACTCAGACCCTTCCAAGAATTCAAGGATATCATCTTCAACAAAATCAGGTAGTGTGCCAGTCCTAGAGTTGAATCAACTCCGATGATAACATACACATTATCACATTTAGAAAGCAGATGCAACAGATCATCTTGTAATAGTGAGATGTCGTTTTTACATTCACGTAACAGGTTATTATACCAGGTTGAAGTGAGTGAGTGAGTATGGTTTTAAGCCGGTTTTAGCAATATTCCAGCAATATCAGGGCGGGGGACACCAGAAATGGGCTTCACACATTGTACCCATGTCGGGAATCGAACCCGGGTCTTCAGCGTGATGAGCGAACGCTTAAACCAGTAGGCTACCCAACCGCCCCATACCAGGTTGAAGACTCCGGGTGAATATATGCACATGCATATAAAAGGTCTTTCTTTAGACCACATATTTATTTATCTAGTAAAATCAATATACCACTACCACACACTTTAGTCCACTTTACAAGATGTGCTTAAGTGTTCTGATTCGTCCCCGGTTGATATCCACTCACCATCTTTGTGCAGATAGCAAAATCACTGAATAAACCACCCAAATCTGTCTCCTTCAACCATGTTTCTGTAAGCCCGACAATATCAAATAAGTTAACAAAGGTAATATATTCAGAATCGTAAACTTTGGATTTTAGTCCAGACAGGTTCCAGAAATTAAATTTTATAGACCCAGGCAACAAAGGGGAAATTGTAGGTGAACCTGTATGAAACACCCTACAATCATCTTGGCCCAGGCCACCCCTCTATGTATAGTCTGTCGTCTCTCTCGTGCTGGGGTGGAGTGATCGAAGTGTTCAATTCAGTTTTCTTCACCCTGCCTCCGATTACTGTTGTTCCTGGTTCCATGCGAAATGTCCTTCAGTGTAGTTCCCCTGTTGTAGCCAGTATCATAAATGCCAGCAGACAACACTATATATATTTTGTCAACGGTGGGATTTGATCATAGTGTCTGTTAATTCGGGGTATAAAAGGCTGCATATCGAGAGTAGGGATAAGGAACAAGTAAATGATAACACGGGGTTGAAGGGTGACAAAAAGCGCAGTCATGAGGTTCTTCATCGGTGAGTATTTTACTGCCCTCTGAAGAGCCACGTACCAGGATTATTAATATAGGTACTGATACTAACGTGATTTATCACAATGGCTTGAGTTGGCGTCCATTGCATGAATTTCTGGGTCCCAGCAACCGGTCCTCTTCCCGCAGAGATGACGCCATTCTTCCAGCTGAGCCAAAATGGTCTGTACTCGTTACATGATACAATAGATGATTCAATATGGGAATCCATGATACTGCACTGAATGCATTCACCAATAAAGGATTTCGTGTTCGCATACCCACCAAAGCCCACTTCATACACATCAGTGGTGTAGTTGTTAGGACTTGTGTGTAGAGCAAAGTTGGCATCGTGGCACGCCTTGACCAGAAACACCATGGTAGAGGTGCCGCCTGTTATTGTGTGTAGGTTGCTGGCAGATATCTGTTGGAAGGTGTATGTGCTGGTGCTAGGCGTGGTCAGTCTGATGTAGGGACCTGGAAATGAAATGATTTAGACATGATAATAATTAATAGTGAAAGTCACGAAAAACGTGATCGTTTAATTAACGTTGCTTTAAACTGATGTTCAAGCCAAGACTGCTTACATATTAAGTAATTTACTAGGATCTGATTCGGGTTTCTTTCTTACGACCAGCAGGTTTTGGCAATGAAGGGATGCTGAATCACTGCACTTCGGCTAACAAGTGTCCATGATTACACCACAAAACAAAACAAATAGTTGCTGACTAAACAAAGCCACGATGATTTACATAATGATTAAGGTTTACCTGTGCAGTTAATCAAGGGTGGAGTCCAGCTGCCATTGACGAGGCAGGTGTTGTTGACACTAACGACGTCCAGCGGTACATCTCTGTAGTTGGTCTTACAGGTACAAGATCTGATACTCCCTGCCATCTTGGACTCAGAACTACAGGTTGCGTTTGGAATAGGGTCTTCGGAACATACATCCGGTTGATAGATATCAGCTGTGGAGTAGAAACATTCTCTTAAATGTGGGGGTTTTGGTGCGCACATGCATGCGTTTCACATCTCGACAGTTAGATTTATTGATTGACATAGTAGAAGGAATGATATTTGTTTTATTTTTTGTAGTTGTGTATTGCCGCACTCAGCAATATTCCAGCGAAATGACGGCGGTCTGTAAAAAGTCGAGTCTGGACAAGATAATTCAGTGACAGGCTTGAATATCGCCGAGTGCGGCATTTAACAACAAACAAACAAACATGAATAAGTGATCAGCTGAGTAAATGAATCAATCCAATGTTATGTATGGAGCTCCTTGTTCACATCACAGGCAAGGCAAAGGCTGTAATGTTTGTTTGTTGTTTAACGCCTCATTCAGCAATATCCCAGCTATATGACGGCTGTCTGTATGAAAGTCGAGTCTGGACAAGATAATTCAGTGATAGTCATCATGGGCATCGATCTACGCAATTGGGATACGATTACATACATCACCTATGTGAGTGAGCCTGACCACTCGATCCCGTCAGTCGCCTCTTACGCCAAGCAAAGTCACCTTTCACAGCAAGCATCCACTTTTTTTAATTTTAACTCATTAACTCACTCACGTGTATATCTGGTATGGCCAATATGACATCGTTGTAAAATGCCCCTTAATATATTGACTGACAACCGGAGTAGGTTTCACCGATATATTGTTAAATTTCATGTAATTTATTAATACCTACTTGGGTGTCCCACTTCTTTTGCTAGATCTCGGATGTGAGATTTAATCACGGGTTTATAATCAGTGTATATGATCAGAAGTGGACGCTCAGATTTGTTGAGTGCTCCTGTTGCAGCAGCATCGGTCATTAGGCCACCAATGATTCCAACATTGCTGGGTAACCAACAAAAGACGATGTCATATTTGCCAGTAGCAAACTCCTTAAATAATTAAAAAATCTGGATTCGAAGTGGATGTTTATATGAAATAGTTTCAACAGCCTGAAGGCACGACAGGGAATCTGAAAAAATAATGGATTGGTTATGGATATATTTAAGTGCTGTTAAAATGGCGTTTGCTTCTGCTGTGAATATTGAGCTGATATATGGCAATCGTAAAGAAATTGTTATGGATCCAATGACAGTGGCACCCACAAATGCGCCACCATCCCGAAGTTTCTTAAGTTGGATGACAAAAGTTGAATGGGAGCTATATCTTAAAGGTTAATTTTGGCAGCGGAAACGACAGATTTAATTCTTATTCCAAGTGGTCGAATAAGAGTTGCACCCAAAACCTGGATTTAACTGATACGTATATAATTTAGTGATGAAATGTATGGACAATTTCAGACAGCGTTGGTTAAGGGACTGCTCATCTGCTTTCACATGTAGACTTTGAATGGGAGAAGTTCTAAAGGCCTCTCAGACCCTGATGATGGATAGTATCTAGTTTTTGTAAATTACTTTTACAAGCTCCACCGTGGAGTCAAGTTTAGAACGGATCACTGATCAGTACAAGTATAAGAGGGTTGTCTGATCCCTTTCCCACTTTGAATAACACTAGATATTCCAAGTCTCTTCAGATATTTGGCTTTAAGGTATTTTATAAGCCGTAAGAAAGTAAGATGGCTACCGAAAATAAGTCCCAAGAACTTGGCCTCCTGTACCACTTTAGTGGTGCCAATCAAAAATAGGTTAGGGTCCTTATTCGGCTTCTATTTTCAGCAGATATGTGTACCATTTGTTTTTTATTTAGAAACTTTAAACCAATTTTCAAGGGACCTCTTGTGAATTTTGAGACAGATTTGTAACTGTCTCTCTATGGTATGCATATTTCTACCACGACAAGAAATGTTTAAATCATCCACAAAAAAATTGATCCATCTACTGGATCAAATAAAACCTTTGACATGCTATTTTTAAAAAAAAGAGACGTAAAAATTCTGCATTGTGTGACACCCTGTTCCTGATTATAAACCCGTGAAGATTCCGGGGTAGAATAGGTCTTCAGCAAACCATGCTTGCCGTAAAAGGTGACTATGCTTGTCGTAAAAGGCGACTAACGGGATCGGGTGGTCAGGTTGGCTGACTTGGTTGATACATGTCATCGATCCTGATTGCGTGGATCGATGCTCATGATATCAATCACTGGATTGTCTGGTCCAGACTCGAATATTTACAGACCGCCGCCATATAGCTGGGATATTGCTGAATGAGGCAGTAAACAACATACAAACATTACAGCCTTTACCATGCTTGTGATGTGAACAAGGAGCTCAAAAGGTAACATTAGATTGATTCATTTACTCAGCTGATCACTTATTCATGTTTGTTTGTTTGTTGTTAAATGCAGCTATATGAAGATGGTCTGCAAATAATCGAATCTGGACCAGACAGGCATGGGTTGCTGAAGACTTATTCTCCCACGGATCTTCATGCTTCAGTCGTTGAAAGTCAATTATTGACAAGATAGGAAAGATTATTGGGTGCCTGTGTTTGGGTAACGTTCAAGACATGTAAAAGCGGGAAAAATGGAATTATATGTGTTAACAATAGAATCAATATGATTACGTGCATGTGGACGTGCCATTTTGAACGTGAATGTTGTGCAAAGGCAACAACCACAAACCAGTTTATGTTGGAGAAATCACTCGATTCAGATTCTCATGGTTTCTCAACTAAAGTATTTGGATTGAGTGGTTATCAATACAACTCAAGTGTTCCACTGGCGTGTAGGGAGTTGGTTGCCTATCAACAAAACACATGTGTCCCTAGTAACCAAATGGTAATAGTTTTATACCGATGACAAGTTTAACATCACAAACAACTAAATCGATATTGTTCTGATGAATAATGATCCTCGACATGTCAGTTGTTTACGTTGTAGTTTGGCAAAGACTGTCAATGTTTACCTGGTGTGGCTCGACTCCGCAATCACAGCTACTACCAAACTCATTAATTTATATACCGGATATTGTGTATACTTAGCGTGATTACAATAGATAGCATGCATTGTTCTACTGATTGAATATGGTGAATGGTTTTATTATTTTCGCTTCATCGCTGGTATGGTGGCAATATATTGGCAATGCCACTACTAAACATATACCTACAGTTACCCTACATCAAAGGCAGCTTGGGTTGTATAGACCAGAATAATATGCACTTTGAGCATGATATCCAGCATGCGACATAATTTTGCATTTTGCATAATGTTGCATTGTCGCCTTTCGGTAAAATAAAAAAGATTACTTAAAGCACAACAATGCGACAAATGGCCAAAATATCACTTTGTTGCATTGTTGGGCTGTTGTTTATTTTGACACTTTTTGCTTGTTTTTGTTAGGGCGACAGTGTGACAATGCGACATGTCCCTTCTAAGATTCCATAAGTAAACGTAACAAATCTGCACCACTTCGGGCTTTCCTCCACATTAAACTGACACGCCGTGAATTAACTGGAATACTGTTCAAACTAACCCAACTCACTCACTCAATAAAATAAAAACAAGACCAGATCTAGACGGGAATCTTTAAAAAATTCGCTGGAAAAATGAGTTGTTGTCAACATATGGCTAATAAAACTTGCTAATTACATGATTATGATGAAAATAACGGACATTACATTTTTTAGCGAAAAGTACATTTTAACCTTATCGCGAACGCCTGATGTCATCTCTCAGTTTCAGTGATCTTTTCACATAATTTTCACCGCTAGGTTGACTTTTACCCCCTTTTCGGCAGATAATCGTGGCAAATTATTCTGTGGTGTTGATGTGTTACATTTACGGTCATACAATACTATTGTGTTCAGGTATAACTGTGTATATTTATAAGCACTGTCAATGATAAAATAGATTTCGTATACTAATAAATATTGTTATAAGGTTAAATATGCATCTAAAAAACATAAGAAAATGGTAACAAATAAAACCGTTATAGCTGCAGTGAGGAGTTGCATTAGATATAGTTTGTGACAGAGAACTTTTAGTTCGTAAGGAATCAATAGATAAAAGACATTTCACATTTATCACAAGTGTATTCTTGACAGTTCATATTTATCATTGGACTGGTTCCAGGTAATCGTCCATTAGTTACTGAATCAAGCAGAGAGATGCAAGATATATGTCATTTGGAGCATCCGGAGCGAGTCACAATCAATAGAGAGATGAGCAATCTGGCACGTAGGTTTCTGTATTTTTCCGATTACGACACACATGAGTTCATGGTCAGATCTAACTTTTAACGAATCAAAATGAAGTATTGTGACATGTGACAAAGACAGGCCAGGCCCGAACACTATAAAATTATACTTTAACATTAGGAGAGGAGAGCGCGGTTTGAAATCGATCGAGTTGAATTCCGATCGTTCTAAGTTTTCCCCATTTAGTGACGAGTCTGGCCAGTCTGATCCTGTCCTGTATTGATAGATGGGTTGAGAGTAAGTAAAACTATGTGAGTATAAAGCTGGTGTTGCGTTTCTTTATTATGTGAGTATGAATGCTGATAGAGACAACTTGGAGTAAGCGTCGTTAGACCAATTATTCCTTGACGGAGCCGAGCCGCTGCGGACAAGGCGAGGGGCAAAGTCATGGCGTAATTAACCATGATGACCAGAAACAGCAATATATTTAGTAACTGTAGTAGGGTCGCACTTGACACCCGAAAGCAGTTACGACAATATGTATGCCTTCGCCAGCAAAACTTGTAGTAAAAGGTAAACACTTATCAGAAGAAACAACATAATCATTCACACTGGTGTCCCAACATGTTACCTTATACACTTTCTTATCTTGTCCAATTCTTCCATTACAAATAAATTACAATTATTTAAAAAATATCAGCCAGCTTAAATCCACAGTTGTATGCATTTGGGTTTCCATGTTGGATCTTTCTCTTAGCATACATACACTGACCCGGGATCAAGTTTGTCTCATCATATCAACATCTGTATCAGGGCCATGAACAATGTGATTGTCAAATGTGCAATAATCTCAAAGAAGTCTTGTTCCGGCATTAAATAAAGCCACAAAATCCTGTCACTATCCAATAGAAATTTCTGCATAAAGCAGAGTCGATTGTACGATTCCGACTATATCATGACGTGTTTATGAATCACTATCCAATAGTATATTATGAGTTGGTGCTGATGAATCACTATCAAATAGTAAAGAAACCAATCAGCATAACTAAGTCACTTTCACAAAGCATATTCACGACACTGTTGTCAAAGTCCTGAAATATATCTTCATATGAATACTTGAATAACTCAGGGGGCACATACACAACTCCTATGTAGAGATCATGAGACAAGCCAAATAGAGATCCTGAGTTCTTTACCCACATAACACGGTCTATTTCAGTGTCAATCACAGTTATATGATCTGCATATCCATTTCTAACTACTATTCCGATTCCTACATCACCTGTGAGATTTAAATCTAGTCTTTAGGAAAAGTTTATGATTATCTAATAATATTTCATCTTAACTATCCGTCTTTGTTTCTTGCAGACCTTTAGGATCATATTTGTCAATAACGTCATGAAAAGCAAGACACTATTATACAATCTGACACATTCCCATTAGGTCACCAGCTCGATCACCTCCCTTCACCAGGTTGCGAGTTCTTCAGACAATCCAGTCGGAGTGTGGTAGACCAGAGTTTCCAAATACCTTTCGAGTCACTGAGCGTTTACTCACAGCGTTCTCATTCACATTAGGTATTGATCCTTTGTTGGGGTATTCAGTGTATTATTTCGCTCTTCGAGTCTATTAGGGTTTGTAAATCTTTGAGTGGACCTCAATGAAGGTTTAATGCTTGTTAAGGTTTCAAGTTATTATAAGCGAGATGTTGTACAGTTGTGCATTAT